GCGCCAGATGAGTCACGGCTGAGACTGCAGTCTCCAGGCTCGCCATCGCGAAACCCAGAGACTCGTTGCTCACCATGTGAATCATGTCCATGCTGGGTGGGATTGAGAGGTTCTTCCGGGAAAGGTTTAACCGGAGGCGAGCGGTCGAAGACTGTGGAAGGCTCTGATTGCATAAAAGAGTTTCGCGGGGTAAGTGGCACAACGGAGGCGACTGAACCAGGGAGACAGTCTGGGTCAGTCGAGAGGGAAAGATGGGCGGAATATGATGGAGAGAGGGAAAGCGCGCGGACAGGCAGGATGGGCAGAGCGTATCAGCAAAAGGCAAGTAAAGGGAACCGTATAGTCTAGGGGGGAAAGGTGGAAGAATTCAAAAGAAGGAGAGGAGAGGGAAGAAGAAAGATACGGAGGAAGTGACGAAAGGAGGGGATCGGACTGATTCGAGCCGGTCTCGCCCGCGTCCCATGATGCAGGTCACGTGAGCACGCGGCGAGGCGCGACTTTCTCGAAAAGGGAATTAATTGATTATTTTACCTTCAGCCCAACAATATCCAACTACTTACTACATACTATTACTTGTATGCCGGCTGCAACGAAGAGTCTTCAAATGCTTCATGCTTGAGGAGCTGCATCTTATCCTTTCAGCCGGCAGCGTAGGCAGCACTGGTCCATTCCAGGCAGCCAGGCGATACATGAAACTCATATAACCGAGTTCATCTTAGCATCTACATTCTTCTCGGTCGTACGAATTTCCCAACTGCCTCATCTCGCCATAAAGATCGACCCAAGATGCCAACTCTTGGCGGTACGTCACCCCATCCACCTCGAAACGTCCCTCAACTAAAAGCCGACCAGACGCGGAAACCATCCGCATCCTCGTGGCTACCGACAACCATGTGGGCTACAACGAGCGGGACCCCATCCGGGGCGACGACAGCTGGAAGAGCTTCCACGAGGTGATGTGCCTGGCCAAGGAGCACGACGTGGACATGGTGCTGCTCGCCGGCGATCTCTTCCACGAGAACAAGCCGTCCCGGAAGTCCATGTACCAAGTGATGCGGTCGATCCGCATGAACTGCCTGGGCGACAAGCCATGCGAGCTGGAGATGCTCAGCGACGCCAGCGAGAACTTCCAGGGGGCTTTCAACCACGTCAACTACGAGGACCTGGACATCAACGTCGCCATCCCCATCTTCTCCATCCACGGCAACCACGACGACCCATCGGGCGAGGGCCACCTGGCGGCGCTGGACATCCTCCAGGTGTCCGGACTGATCAACTACTACGGCCGCACGCCCGAATCCGACAACATCCAGGTCAAGCCGGTGCTGCTGCAGAAGGGGCGGACCAAGCTCGCGCTGTACGGGATTAGCAACGTGCGCGACGAGCGACTGTTCCGCACCTTCCGCGACGGCAAGGTGAAGTTCTACCAGCCCTCCATCCAGAAGGAGGACTGGTTCAATTTGATCTGCGTGCACCAGAACCACCACGCCTACACGGAAACGGGCTACCTGCCGGAGAACTTCCTGCCGGAATTCTTGGATCTGGTCATCTGGGGCCACGAGCACGAATGCTTGATCAACCCGCGCCGGAACCCCGAAACCCACTTCCACGTCATGCAGCCGGGCTCGTCCGTCGCCACATCGCTGTGCCCCGGCGAAGCCGTCGCCAAACATGTTTCCCTCGTGAGCATCACGGGCCGCGAGTTCAAGAGCGAGCCCATCCGCCTCAAGACGGTGCGGCCCTTCGCCATGCGCGAGATCGTGCTGTCGGAGGAGAAGGGGGCGCAGAAGCTCGCGCGCAAGGAGAACAACCGCACCGAACTCACGCGGTTCTTGATGGGCATCGTCGAGGAGCTCATCGAAGAAGCCAAGGAAGAGTGGCTCGAGATGCAGGACGAGGAGCCGCCGACCGCCACGGCCGCCGAGGACGATGACGACCAACCACCCCGCGAGATCCCCTTGCCTCTGGTGCGCCTGCGCGTGGAGATCTCCACCCCGGAGGGCGGCAGCTACGACTGCGAGAACCCGCAACGGTTCTCGAACCGCTTCGTCGGCCGCGTCGCCAACGTCAACGACGTGGTACAATTCCACCGGAAGAAAAAGAACACGGCCGGAACCACCCGGCGGAAGGACGGCGGCACCGCGGAGGTCGACGAGGCGGCCATCTCGCACCTGACGACTCTCGACACCGTCAAGGTCGAGCAGCTGGTGCGCGATTTCCTCGCCACGCAGTCCCTGACCATCCTGCCGCAGAACTCCTTTGGGGACGCGGTGGCCCAGTTCATCGACAAGGATGACAAGCACGCACTGGAGATGTTTGTCAACGAGTCCCTGGAGAGCCAGATCAAGCATCTCATGGCGCTGGACCGCGACACCGACGGGATCGACGCGGCGGAGGAGCTGGCGCAGAGCTCGTTGCACAAGGCCATGGAGCGGTACCGCACGCAGATGGAGGATATGTTCACCCGCGGAGTCAACAAGCGCAGCCGCCACGCCCGCGGGGGCAAGCGGCGCTACAAGCCCAAGCCCGATGGCTGGGACAGCGAGTTCGATGGCGCGTGGGAGGAGCAGCCGGGCGCGCTGATCCACTCGGACAATGAGGGCGGGGACCCGAACGAGGATGTCGCCGCGGAGGACGGTACTGGGTCTGCTACGACAGCCCGCGCATCCTCGACTGCGCGGGGCAGGGGGCGGGGACGCGGCGGGAGGGCCACCGCTACGGGGACGACAAGTACACGAAAGACCACCACAACAAAAACTACAGCCACGGCCGCAAAAAAGGCCGCTGCTACGCCGTCAAAAGCAGCTGCGAGTAAAGGCCGCCGACGTCGCGCGGGGTCTGAGGACGAGGACGATGAAGAGGAGGATGTGATTATGCTTGATGACGACGACGACGACGACGACGACGATGCGGTATCTGGCTTGCCAGATATAAACGAAGAAGACGACGAGGACGATGACTCCCAGGCTCTCTTCGTCAAACAACCCGCGACTCGGACACGGAGGGCAGCAGCCGCAGCAGCAGCACCTCTACCAGCCGCCTCTAAAAAGACTCCAACAACTAGCCAACGTCGCGCAGCCGCTCCGCCTGTCGCCTCAACCCGCGCCACGGGCGCAACGGGGACGAGCACGCGCCAGACCAGAACCCGCCAGCAGCAGACCCAGACGACGCTGAATTTCGTGGGCTCCCAGAGCAGCGGTTCCCGGAGCACCAGGACGAGGGGCGCGAGTGTGGCCAGCGAGGAAATCGACGACGACAGTGATGGATTCGAGCCGATGGCGGTGCCTCGGCGGCGGTAGCGACGGCGGTCTACGGTAGTCGAGTCTGCGGACGTATGACTCGATCGGATTTAGGGAGGGGTCGATTGTAGTGTAGTGCAGTGGGAGGTCTAGTGCAGCATCATCGGCGCATCGGTTTGGGCACGGGGGAACAGAGTTTCCAAATGGCGTTCTCCCAGGTTGTTTTAGCGTGGACGAGTATTCAATTGATCCAATCGACCCGAGAGCGGTTTCTCGGAGCGGAGCTTACGCGCCGGCTTCCTTGATTTATCAAGCTGTAGTCAGTCAATCTACGAAAGTAGGAATTCAGGTATGAATGCAATAAATAAATCAACAGCCTCCGCAGTCAACCCGGGGTGCCTGGCGCGGAGGGGCGGGCGGGCTCCAAGCTTGAGCTCCAGACTCCAAGCTCCAAGCTTCAACGGGGCGCGCGGCCGGTGCAATGCGGGCTCGCGAGAAGAGGTAGGCGGCAAGCGGTGATTGCAGCAGCCAAGCTGGGCAACCACCCAACGGGCACAGACGCACTATTGAGGGACCAGTCCGAACTAGCGGGTGGCCACCCAGTGCGACGAGCTGGCCATTGGCCCCCTTTTTCTTTGCGGGGGTTTGGGTTTGGGTGGCAGCCATGCTAGGTAGACTGAGTCGGTACGGGAGTAGAGACGGGACAAACCCAGGTTTTATCCTTGGGGTCAGAGTCAGAGTCGGAGGCAGGTGCTGATCGAGTCTAGACTGATGATCGTTATCTGGGTGGGTAGCAGGAACTCAAGTGACCTAAGTTAGTAGGGAGCGCAGCGGGATATGGGCTGGTTCTGGGATAAGGGGGTGGTAGGAAGTGATACCGAGTATGACAGAGTGGAGGAAAAGAAAGTAAACTTTACCATCACCAATAAAGTCAATCGCGCCATGGATGGATGTACTCGAGGAGGCTGCAGTCAGCCGAATGCTGCACACAACAAACGAATACGACATGGGAAAGGAGAGTGCCGTGAGGGAGTGCAGTGAACCCTGCTGGGAGTGCTGGCCAATCTCCACAAGGCTAGTGGATCCAGGATAAAGCCATGAACTGCTGCCGGAGAGTCCAAAAGATGCGCTGATGGCGGTCATTGGAAGCATCCCCTGACGCTTTACTCAGTTGAGGAAAAGACAAACACCAACCCCTCTGGCTGGCGGCTTGGCGAACCGAGATATGCCCTGGAGATTTGCCTAATTGGGTAATGTCCTCCAGCAGCCATGCAGCCCAATTGAGCCTTTCCAGCTCCACTCCTCCACTCCTCCACTGCTCCACTGCTCCAGCTTTCCCCCGACTCGAGTCCTTGCCTGCCCTGCACTGCTTGCACCGCTGCACTGCTGCACTGCTGCACTGCTGCACCGCTTGTGCCTGCCATGGTTGATCCGCGCTTGCAGCTTGGGCCCGCTGCGCTCGTTCTTCTGCCTAGCGACTCCGTCCTCCGTACTAGTCTAAGACGTCTCCATGCTCCTCCGTTCTCCTCCTCCTCCTCCTCCTCCTCCTCCTCCTCCTCTTCTTCTTCTTCTTCCTCTTCTTTCCTTCTTCCCTTCTTCTCTTCTCCAGGTGTTTCAACCCTCAGTCATTCGTTTCTCCAAACTCCACTCCACTGACCATAGTCTTTCGTTTCGGGATCAGGATTCTGATCCCTCGCCAGTCGGCAATCATACCTATCTCCCCCCCCTGAGTCACGTCACAAAATCCAGTCCTTTATCACCTTTCAAACTCCGTAGAACGCCATGAAGTCCATTAGCGCAACCGCATTGCTCCTCATCGCCGGGGTCGAGGCCGCCAGTCACGCCCACCGTCATGGGCACCACGCGGCCGTCGAAAGAGCCGTCCAGGCGACCAAGAAGACCGGAAGCTGTCAGTTTCCCTCGGACGCGGGCCTGGTGGCCGTCACCCCGGGCGAGCTGAACGGGGGCTGGGCCATGAGTCCGGACCAGGAGTGTACGCCCGGCGGATACTGCCCGTACGCCTGTCCACCCGGGCAGGTTTCCATGCAATGGGACCCCGAGGCCACCTCGTACTCTTACCCGCTGTCGATGGTATGTGTCACCGCCAGCTTCGTGGCACGGACCACCCAATTGATCAAGATATGCAATAGAACGGCGGTCTGTACTGCGACGAGGACGGCATCATCCAGAAGCCCTTCCCGAAGAAGCCGTACTGCCAGGACGGCACGGGAGCTGTGAGCGCGAAGAACAAGTGCTCCAGCCATGTTTCGTTCTGTCAGACCGTCCTACCGGGCAACGAGGCCATGCTTATCCCCACCTTGGTGCAGGAGCTGGAGACCCTCGCCGTGCCGGATGTCGAGTACTGGCTCGAGACTGCGGCGCAGTAAGTCTCTGTCGGAGCGAAGACGATGCATGAACTGACCGGAGTAGCTTCTATATCAACCCACCCGGCTATAGCACCGACACGGCCTGTGTCTGGGGAACTTCGTCGAGCCCAATCGGCAATTGGTCGCCTTATGTGGCCGGTGCCAACACCGACGCCTCGGGCAACACGTACGTGAAGATCGGATGGAACCCGATCTACCTGGAGTTGACGACGCCCTTCCGCGACGTGGTGCCCGACTTTGGCGTGGAGATCGAGTGCGAGGGCGACAGCTGCAACGGACTTCCCTGCAAGATCGATCCGGATGTGAACGGGGTCAACGAAATGACGGGCTCCAGCTCGATCGGCGCCGGAGGGGCCGCGTTCTGCGTGGTCACGGTTCCCAAGGGCGAATCGGCGAACATTGTTGTGTTTGACAAGGCGGGCTCGTCTGAGAGCAGCAGCACTGTCAGCAGCGTTGTGGCCAGCAGCAGCAGCAGCAGCAGCTCAAGCATTAAGAGCACCAGCACTTCGAGTACCTCGACCAGTGCCTCGACCAGCACCAGCACCAGCAGCACCAGCAGCACCAGCAGCACCAGCACTAGCACCAGCACTTCGGCTACTCCCACCAGCACCAGTACCAGCACTAGCACCACCAGCTCATCCATCGCTTCCAGCACCAGTTTCAGCACCGCTTCGAGCACCTCCATCGAAGGTAGCAGAACCACCACCATCTTCTCCACCACTATCATCTTCAACCCCACGCGGATCCCCATTCAAGGCCCCTCATCGGGCTGGAAAGTGAGCTCATCTGCCGCCGCCGAGTCCGCCAGCTACACGTACGCGCCGCACGCTTTCGTTGAAACCGGCCATGTGCAGATGGAAGCGGTTGCTCAGAGTGGCAGCGAAGTCAGCGAAGCATCTGCGACGCCGACCGTCATGGCGGCGGCTCAAGGAGGCGCCAGCAGCAAGACGGTGTCGACGCTGGGGTTGGTGTTGGCGGTGATTGGCGCCGTGCTGATGGTTTAGACAGCATGTCTGACCTGATCATTCACTATATTAATTTTGTTTCTTCTTCACTTCACTTCGACAGGAACATTTTACCTTATATTATTGTATACCCTTATGATACGATGTTCTTGTATATTATTGATTGATGAGTTTTGATGTTAATATTAATCTTCTTCTTTTGACAATAGCAGGAAGTGGCTTCAGAGTAGAATCTGTGAGTAGAGGTAGAGTGTTGTGGAGAACAGAGAATGGAAGATAAACAAAGGGGGGGGGGAGTATAGCAAGCCAAACAACCCGGCCCGGAAATGCCAAGCGGGAGAATGGACGATAGCGTCATCCGCCTCCGTATCTGTCCAGGCTCCTCCACTTCTCCGTCTTCATCGCACTCTCGATTTCGTGTGTGCACAACAAAGACCCTCAAAATGCCTCCCTCACCACAAACAGTACGTCTGCCTGCCCTGTCTCTACTTTAAGCCTCATCAAAAATTCCCCGCCATCACCCCAAGGCAACCCCCATAAAACAACCCCCCCCCCCCGGCAGCGAACCCCGCAGCGCCCAACCCAACCCAACACCACCCCCCTTCCCCCCAATCTCCTCCATACTAACTTTGATCTTCAGAGCAAGTTAACCAGCACCCTCCACCTCCTAATCCCGCGCCTCCGCCTCCTCCAAAAAAAAGACACCGCCAGCAGTGTCATCCAGCGCCGCGACCTGTCGGGCTTACTGGCGGAGGGCCGCGACTCGAGCGCCCGCATCCGCGTCGAGAATGTGATCGCCACCGACATCGCCGTCGAGGTCATGGAGATGATCGAGCTGTACTGCGAGTTACTTTTGGCGCGGGCGAACGTACTCGACCAGGCGGCGTTCGGGGAGCGGGGGGCGCAGGCGCGGAATCGCGCGAGGGTTGCTTCTTCCGCTGCCGCGGCCGGGAAACAGGTATGGCATGGTGGTGGTGGTGGTGGTGTGTCTGGGTCTGGGTCTGGGGATACTCCTAGTGGGGGAAGCGGGGGCCGGTTCGCGTTCTTCGGCCTCGGGGCCAAACCCGCCAGCACCACCGCCACCGCAAGCGAGACTGCGGACCATACCGGGGACGCGGGCCCCGCCGGGCAAGAAGAATACCTCGACCCCGCCCTCGACGAGGCCGCCGCCGTCATCTTCTACGCGTACCCGCGCTTCCCGCACGACGTGCGCGAGCTCACCATCCTCCGCAATCTGCTGGCGGAGCGCTGGGGCAAGGAGTTCATGGCGCTGGCGCAGGAGGACGCCGTGCCGGGCGTGCGCGTGCCGAGCCGCGTGGCCAAGGCGCTGCGCGTGCGCGCCCCGTCGGCGGAGTTGGTGGACTGTTATCTTATGGAGATTGCGCGGGCGTATGGGGTGAATTGGGGGGGTCGGGGTCATCGTGTTGAGGGGGGTGCCCCGACGACTGCTGGATTGGACGATGTGCCGGGGCATGATGGTGGTGATGGTGCCGGTGGTTATGATGGTGAAGGGGGACACGGTGATGGTGGTGATGGTGACATTCCTTCTACGCCGCGACGCTCACCAACCGAAAACGAAGCGCGTCGGGCTTCCGAAACACTCGCGCTCAATCAGGCGACGCCGCCGCGGGGGTTGCAGACCCAAGCCAAAAGTCCCGTGAGTGTGGCGCCGCCTGGGCCGCGGTTGGATAATCTGCATCCGCGCGTCAAGGTGCCCGGGGATTCGTCCTCAACCTTGTCCTCGACGGCGGTGGGGGAGACTGCCAGAACGAAGAGTGAGATACCTGAGTTGGATGAGTTGACCAGGCGGTTTGCTGCGTTGCGGCGGTAGCTCTCCCGGAATGTCATTGGCGCCGGTGGTGGTGGTTACGCTTCGTGGGCATACTTCTTACGCGTCTATTATACCTCTGGTTTGGAATGAATCAATCATATTCATCATCTATCCGTCTCCTCCCCCCCTTTTCAGTCATCCACGCAAACGTAACTGGTATCAGGTAGCGAAACGCTCATCACAACAAATGCAAACATGCGACAGACAGGATATCCAAAAACAGGCCAACCTGAACACGAACACGTCAATTATATACAGGGAGATATCAACAAGCGAATATAAAAATATGCAAGAAAAGACAGGGAGAGGCAGCTAGCTACTACTCCTCCTCCTCGCCCGGAAGAATAATCTCATGCCCCGACCCCTCATACACGAAGATCGCCGCCACGCAGCCGAACACCGACACCAGCGCTACCAGCCACCAGGCGAAGCCCACCATGCCCATCTCCAGCCCGTACCCGTACCACGACCCCGAAAAGATCGGCCCGATGGTCCGAAAGGCGGAGGACACGGACTGGCCGATGCCATGGATCGTGCCCAGCACGGACGGGTGCGGCGAGCAGTTATTCAGGAGGATGATCGAGGTCGGCAGCGTAAAGGTCCGTGCCGTCACCTGCAGGAACAGCACCACGATGATCGAGAACCACACCCAGCCGCCGTTGGCCTGGCCCGGCGGCGGCACCGTGGACGGCGCCAGCGCGATGTACGGCGCGAACGCGTACGCCAGGGGGAACAGCGTCAAAAAGTACTGGTAGCTCTTGGCCGTGCCCAGACGACCGTTGATGCTGGGGTAGATGGTGAACTGCAGGAGCATGCCGATAATTCCCAAAATGGCCGTCGCGAAGCCCACGCTCTGCGGCAGCATCCCCAGGCCGCCGGTGAAGATGAAAGGCAGCTTCTGCAGGGGGCTCGTGGGGTCGTTGGCGTCGTAGCGCGGGGTCGAGAGGAACAACAGCCACAGGTTGTTGAAGGCACTGGGTCAGGGTCAGTTCGATGTCGGAGGCAACAGAACCACAAACACATACCCCATTTGGAAGTCGAAGAAGGCCTGCGCCAGAAGCGTGCATAGCACATTCTTGGTCCAGATCCGCCGAAAGGGCAAGCTGCGGCTTTGACGAGCGTGCTTAGTGGCCTTCTCCTCCATCTCGTAGCTCTCGGCGGTATCCCGGCGGCCCAATAGAGGGCCGGCCTCTTCGTAGTCGGCGAACGGCAGCCGGTGGTACAGTGGGGAAGACGAGGGCACCACGGCGCGAACACCGCGCGCGAAAATGCGCATCGAGAAGACCCCCAGACCGGGCTTGCCTTTACAAGCTTCCAAAGTCTGCAACAATTAGTGATGATCCATGCCGCCAAAAAAACCAGCCACATACCTCTTCCAGACCGATGGCGACACACGCCGCCGCGAACGACAAGAAAATGGCGTTCGCCAGCATGGGCAAAGCGTAGGGATAGCGGATCAGCCACTGCACACCGTTGGCGCCGCCGAACGACGAGTCGGGCCCGAACAACCGGGGATAAGCCTTGACCGGATCGGCCAGCATGCCACCCATCACTATCACACAACCGTCAGTCAACCCCGAAAACCACCCTAGCAGGATGGCGGTCACTCACCGGGCCCAAACAAGGCGGCCACGTTAAACCCGATCGGCAAGATCAAGAACGCGCGCGAGTGGTACTTCTTCTCCTTGACGTTCTCGGCGATCATGGTCCGGATGATCCCGACGGTGCCGTTGATGGCACCGCCGAAGGAGCGCCAGAACACGGCCTGCGCGAACGAGGTCGCGAAGGCGACCCCGAAGCAGGACAAGGCGGTGCCCAGCAAGCCCACCAGCAGCACGAACTTCCGGCCGCCCCACTCCGCATCGGCCACCCGACCCCAGGGGATGGCGGTCGCGAACTGCGCGGCGGTGAACGCGCCCTGCAGGATTCCGGCCTGGGTGGACACATCGGCATCGGACAGGTTCTCGTCGAAGGACTTCAGCTGGTAGAACATGTAGGCCTGCAGGGAGGCAATCTGCAGAAAGTCGAACACCCGGCAGAGCCCCAGCAGCGCGAGCTGGCCCTTCTTCGGCAGGGACATCCAGGTCACCGGGGCGGGGCGCGAGACCGGCGCCGCGGAGGGCGTATCGGCCAGTTCTTGAGGTCGCAATAGGGCGGACTGCGACTGACTGTGGGAGCGACTGCGGGCATGGCCCCAGTCGAGCGAGGTGTTCCTCGAGGCCATGTTATGGGAGTCGTGGTCGTAGTCCTCGTAGCGGCCGGAGGAGCCTTCGGAGACGTCGGCTAGAGAGAGGTTGGATTCGCGACGACGGCGTTGTTGGTGTTGGTGAAGCGGGAAGTTGGCCGCGGTCGAGGATGAGGGTTCGCCGCCTTGGTCGTGACCGGAAGTCCACGAGGTAGTTCTGGTATGACGGGCAGCATGCCGGTTCTTGGTGGATTGGGCGAAGGAGGCGGAGGTCGCAGAGAGGGGATTGGGAGTTGTTGGTGGGAGCGGCGAAGCGATGGCGGAGGATAAGGTGGAAGTGGCAGTGGCCGTAAGAGGCGGCGCGGCGTTAAGCGTCAAGGACGGTCGCCGGCCGGTTCCTTGGGATGCGGTTCGTGGGACGGGCATCGGCACGAGTTGTGATAGGAGGATAGATGGCAGGAATCTAGAGGAAAGGGAACAAAAAGACGCAAGGGAGGGGCCAAAACTGGGTCAGATCGGTCTTAGTGAGGAGTGAGGAGTGAGTAGTGAGTGGGTGGACTATAAGTCAGTCGGAGATCCGGACGGTAAATGCTGGCTGCAACTGCAGCAGATGAGGAATCAACGCAGAGAAAAGAGTGACGATGCTGATGATGCAGCAGATGCAGCAGATGCAAAGCGAAAGGAAAAGTCAGATACTAAAGAGCGACCGAGAGAGAGAAAGAATAGAAACTAAACCCACGATCATCGAACTCGAAACAGATCCCCCATCGCCTTCAATTGCTTGATTCGGGGGTGAGTGGAAATGAAATGAAAGTGAAATGAACTGGGAGCGAAATGAAGCGATGTGCCAGAGACAGTCAATTGCGGGAAAGGGATAGAAACAGCAAAATCGCAATACGCAATACCGCGGTGCGTAATTTACACGACACCCGACGTAAAAAAGAAAAGGCTTGCGACGCTTTTCTCCACCCGCAGGGCTTGGCACCCGAGCATTCGGTCACCACCACAACAATAGTCCCCGATGTTGACTTATGCACTATGCACTATGTATACAATGTATAAACCACTGCTTATCATTTTATGATGAGTACGAGGAATCCCCTCTCTATTTTTTTTTATATTCTAGAGGCTCTTACTTCACTACCACCACGGACACCGCAAGTACGGATAACACTCCGCCGACCCATCGACCGGCACGGGCAGCGGCGCATGGCCCCAGTATGGCATCACCGTATTCTCATACCAGTTCTGCAGCATCCAAAGGTCCTCCGACACGCTGTGCTCGGCGCGGCCCTCGATCTCCACGGCGAGGATGCCGGGCCCCGTGACGCGCTCCGCGCCGACGCACTCCTTGTAGTGGCGCACGACGCCCGCGCACTGGATGCGCCCGAACACGGCCTCCGCAGTGGGCTTGTTGAGGCGCTCGCCCTCGATCTCGAGCTGCAGCTGCTCCACGTAGAAGGGCCAGTCATGGCGGTCCATCAGCTCCTGCGCCACGTCCACCACCACGAAGACCTGCTCGCGGTCAGAGTCGCAGTACCCGTGTCGGCTGAGGTAGTGCTTGATGAAGCGGCCGTAGACGCCGTCGTCGCGGCGGATGGCGCGGTCGGGGAAGATGGGCCACATTTTGGTTGGATCCGGGGGGGTTTACTACCTACGGATAGTACTACGGTAGAGGTGGATGGCAGGGAAGGAATGGGGGGGATGGGATGGGATGAAAGTAGGTGTAGGGCAGTGTAAGTTGTAGTCTTATTTATAGAGTGGCAGGGCCCAGTAACAATGCCGGTCTTCATCGACTAAGTCCAGTCTGCCTCAAAGCATTGATGCCAATCTGCTGGAGCATCTCGACCAGAACAACGCTGTCAACAAAGTGGATAGAGATAATCTCTCTAACTTGGTAGGGGATCTCCACTAACAGTCGGTAATGACCATTTCCAGGATGAAGACCAATCTCACCTGCGATTGTGCCAGCTCAATTGTCGAGGATCTACGTACTATGTACTGTAGTATGAGTGCTGCTGCGGTCTCTCTCCCAGCTGTTTGCCCATTTAACATTTGAGAGATGACAACCACTCAGCGTCCAACCTCTTACGTAAGTCCATACGTATGCCTGCATGGGTAGCCTGCTTCCGTTTCCTATCAAACCTTCTGTCTTATGCACGAGGCAAGAACTATTCCGGGGGGTTGGGGTGATGACGAACGGATTGTGGCTCAGACCTCGGAGTAAGCTATTGTCATCACATCTTGAGTTCGAGCCATTCTACCCGGCATAAACAGCACAATCCGAGGACAAGATTGGCCAATCACCGCTGAGATTTGCATTTTGGTCCTACCAGACGATTCCTGGATCATATAGGAACGATTTAATTATTTATTCTAGAAGATGGAAAACCAAAGCGGCTACCGTTCTATATGACCTCCCTGCTGCCAGGTTGAGCCCTGACCCTCGGTCAGGGGCGTATACCGCGGCCGCTGTCTACCCACGAGTCGACGCCAATGCCACCAGGGAAGCTCGTCCGCTTCCGCTGAGTCCGGCGCCCGTTCCATCTGATCTAGATGCTCCGTGGAGGCTCGCTCCTTAACCCGGCTGAGATCCTGCTGCCGTCGCCGATAGACCCGGAGGATCGTGTAGATAGCCGCCACCGTAACCACAAACCCAAAGACCGGGGCAACCCACCCTACATTGTCTAGACCCGTATCAGCATTACTTTCGACCATCGCGCAGAAGTAGAAGGTTAAACTTACTGTAGGCCTTCTCTGAACTGTGCGCCTCCGCCTCAGTTTCCTCTCCCTCAGACTGGCCCGTCTGTCCCCAATCGTATAAAGTGTCCGGATGACCGGGCTCAACCCACGGCACGGTGATAATCCCAGCCGGCGGGATCGCAGGCCCAGCGCCCTCCTCATTCGGCATGCCATACGACTGGGCATTCTCGCACGCATCGGTCGCACAGAAATTCTGCAACTCCGCCGACGGGACAAACGTGAACAGGCTGCGAGACTTGCCCAGCACTTGGCCCTCCACATCGACCGCTTCGGCATAGGTCCACTGGTAGAACTCGCCCGCCGTGTAGCTCGTCTCGAATCCGTTCTTCGCAACTTGCTTGATCAACATGAACGGGCCGGTGGCGTTCTGCGCGCCGTAAAAGCGCCAGTGCTTCACGCGGGTCGCCCCGTTCCAGCTGACATAGAAGGTCGTCGGGGCGTAGGTCTCGCTCGACTTCGCATAGGTCCACATGGCCGGCACGTCGGTTGGATTGCCCTCCCACTGGAACTTTTGCGCCCGGTAGTTCATGATCCGGTCCTTGTCAATGTATCCCCACAGAAGAAGATTCCCTTGCTCGTCATGCTCGGAGATGTAGGCGTTGTTGCCCCACCCGATGAACGCGTTCCCGTTTGGCAGAATCTGCAGATTTCCTTGGCTGGAGCTGATCATGGTTTTGCCCGGCGGTGCATATTCCAGCAGCTGGGTCGCGGTGTTATCGCGGTGGTCGATCAGGATAATCATTCCCGAAGAATAGTCGTGCGTCCGGTTGAAGCCGTTGAAGCCGTTGTTATAAAGCGACAGCAGCGTATGGGTGGCATTCTCGCTCAAGAACCGGGCATCGTGTTGCTGCGAAAAGCTGAAGTTGATGTTCTTGAAAGAGGGGTTGGCGCCGTGCAACTGCCAGATGACCGAGCCGTCTTGCCCGGAGATCTTGTAAATCGCGCACGTATGGCGCGAAGAAATCAGATAGTCGCCCTCACTGTTCTTATCGATGGAGTTGATATGGAAGTAGTCCCAAGGCGAGCGCGGGTCTAGCCCAGTGCCCGAGGTGTCCGTGTGACTAGGCCAGGTGTAGGCGGCTGACGGGTCAACATGGTCAAGAGACTTCCACTCGAATAGCACCTCGTTAGTCTCGACGTCGACTTCCTGGAAGACACTCTCCATCAGCCATCCCATGCCCGTCTTCACATTCCACAAACTCATATCGAACTGCCGCTGTTGATAGACGGTCAACAAAGCAGTCTTGCCGTCGTTGATGGGCTTGAACTCGTGCATATCGCTGGACGCCATGCCTCCTCCGGGGACTACAGTGCGAATGATCCGATAATTGCTGTCCATGATCACGCCATGGCCGCGACAGTAACCGTTCTGCTGAACGCCCTGGAAGAAGCAGAGATGGTCTTTGCCCCGGTACTGGCAAACATGCATGCCGTGAGCGTTTCCGGGGCCGGAATTCCCCCATCCGCTCCATACTAGATTCTACAGGTCATCAGCAGATGCGGCTGGTTGACGTTTCATGACAGACACATACCCCTTCGTCATCATAAATATACGGCCCAGAGTTGGCTGCCTCATAAGGGCCCACGAAGATGTAGCCCGGGCTGAGCTTGTCGGGGTTGCGATGTTCCAAAGTGAGGACAGGCGGGTAGAGGTCGGGTCTCTGCGATGGTCGTTGACACAAGGTTAGTGATCCGCATGGCGAACATCTTGGCTTTATGGCGTGCACGCTGCTGCTACTGCTAATTGCGAACAGCCACCGACAAGCGGGCTTACCGATTTGAAGACCGAGTCCACCTCCGCAAAGACCGATGGTAAAAATGTACATAGTATGGCAAGGGAAAATAGTAAAAGAGACGGAGCGAAACCGCTCGGGTTGCGTATAGAGCCGATCATCGATCCTTCAGCGGTGCATCCGTCGCACCCAGAATGTGTAGGAAACAAGGACTGCGATTCCAAAGACAAGGACGAGGTCGAGAAAAGAACAGAAAATCAGTGATCACCCCAAGCAGTATTCAGTCTCAACTTCCAGAGAGCGACCGAATGCAAGCCGGTTCAACCACGACGAACAAACGCCAGAACAGCCCACAAGAAACCCGCAGCAGACGGGAGAAGGAAAGGATTAGTAAAAACCATGTTCCTAGCTTGATAAGAACTGGCGGCGGATACGCTGGGAAGCAAGCCTGTGACCGTCCGAGACTCCCACGCACGAACATGCAAAGCTCGAGAATGCCAGGCCAATGCGAGGCCGCGAATACTGGGACAGATGCTTGAGCGCATCAACTTCTTGGGGCGGCGACGTAAGTGGAGGCCGCCAAGCATCGCCAACGTACCAAATCACTGCCGAGACAGGATCCACTACTGCTTGGTCGTACGTACGTCGTTCATGTTTATTGCGTTTTTGCAGCTGGCTGGCGGGATCAGGATTCGTGTTTTGCAGACCGTCGCGTTCTTCGAAGAGCATCGACGATATGATCCATAAGATTGAATGCTGCCTCGTTGTTCAGTAACCCATCATCTCCGCAGGGCCATTTTTAGGGGTGATAGTCAAGCATCCACGTTGATCTCCCTTCCTGGACCAAAGACGCGGATAAGCTCGTGGAGGAGGTTTGTCGAGACAATCTCAAGAGAAGTAGTACTGCAAATCGGCTGGTTGCCTTGCGCGGTTGGACCTAAGAATAGTCCAGTCCTTCATCTGTTGTCGTCGTCGTCGTCACCTCAATCTCATGGATTGCCCTCCCCGCGTTTCAGCGCTTAGAATCAAGTCACAACTTGGAGACTGGATTATGCGGCCATCAAAAACCAAGCCATCACCACGGAGACCTGGAAGCACTCATCCAGTATAGCTCTTCACCGACAGACCACAATACCCAACAACGATACATCCGAACATTGCGCGGTTTGTGATATCTCCGACACAGATAGAGGATTGATAACAAACAACCCGAACTTACCGGACCTTCGTCCGAATAACTTACTCGTACCTCGCGAGAAAATCCTTACCGAAACAATACCAGTTTCCGCCCACCCCCGGGGTAAGTTTTATCCCACCCTAACCCAATCCGGGCTCCCCCCTGTGTATCCATAAATTCTGTAACACCACTCAAACCTCCAGCCCTCAACCCCCTCTGGATCAAACAACTGAACCACGTCGTCAGCATACGCACGGCTTTTCCCAATTCCCGCTCAGTCATCATCCCCTCAGCACCCACGCGCCCGCCAAGCCTCGACCCCAATAGCCGGTCGCAAGGGGAAGTGCCCGCCCGCCGCCGCCGCCGCGTCACGCCGCCACGGGACGATGCTTAGTCTAAGAGCTTTGGGGCAGAAGATTTTGGGTTGGCGAGCGACTGCGCAAGTGTGAATACCCGCAATGCTGCTGGCAGTGCTTGTAACGGATGAATGAATCCACCTACTTCCTCCCTTACTGCGCTCTAGGCCTTGGGGTTAAGGTAGTGTAGTAGAGGATGTCAAGGAACGAATGTTGTTGTAGTGTTTCGTCGATGTTTCCGATTCCTTTTGTCTGTCGCATGCTGGGCCGCTGGCGTTACATAGGACTGTAGCTACCTACCTGCTGTCCTTGTTGTTCCTGAATGAGGGACGGTGGGTGGGATGAATAAGGTAGCAAGCAGCTCTCCGGGCTGCGGATGCTACTGCACGTGAATTAGACCATGGATTGAGTTCTTGCTCTTGCTCTTGCTATCGAGGTGCTGTCGAGGTGCTATCTTGTGTATCTGCTCGAAGAGAAAGATGCCCGGGTTTAGTGATGGGGTACATGTTATAACGGATGTCAGCATGCTTCGGGTCGCTTGGCTTGGTTAAGCTGTAGAGCTTTCCACAAGTGCAACAAGTGCAACAAGTGCAAGGCGTCGTTGGCTGGTTGCCAAGGCCAGGAAGGATGCATGCACGCACCCTGTAGGGCTCGCCGCGACAACCGGGGAGGGCTGGCCCGCTGCATGCATGCCGAGACCATTTGTCCTACCCTCAACAAATGAACGGTGAACTGGACTTACTATATATCCTACAGGGCCATGACAGCGAAAGGGGAGAACATGCGATGTGCAAAGAATATTGAGTTCATTCCATTCCGATTGGCGCCAGGTAATATCAGCGTTGAATGATAAGGTACTACTGCCTTCATAATTGAGCGAAAACCAAAAGTGCCATCCGCCCAATGCTTTTCCTTGCCAATATCCGTCTAATCAATCCGTACATAAAAGTCCCACCATTGCCCAACACAAACCAAACAGAGATTCTCACAAGTGATAGAATCACGCATTATAATAATAATCCAACCCTGGATCTGAGGGTCGGTACGCTCATCGGTATCTGATAATCAAAACACACAGAACAAAAACCTGCGGCGATCGGCGGCCAGCGCACGCGACAGGCGGAAGACGCAAATAAACAAAATCCCCTCTACCGAGAGAAGCGCTTGAAGGCCATGGTAGCAGCCAAGCCGGTGGCCAGGATAGCTCCACCCATAGTGAATGCCTGGAGGGCGGCGTTCAGCATCTGGCGCCTGTTGCGGGAGCGGCAGCGCTTGAAGAAGTCGGCCATGTCGTTGCCGCGAGGGAAGGGGGTGTCAGGCACCTCCTCGCCCAGGAATTCGCAGAGCGGGCCCCAGCCCTCGCCGATCTGGTACTCGAGCAGTCTCTCCGGGGGCACCAGGCTGCGGACCTCCTCCACGTGGTCGAGGTACACCTGCTTGCCCTGGTTGGGGAAGTCTCCCCGGAAGAAGGTCTGGAAGAACTTGTTGAGCATGGGGTAGTACATGCTGGCGGCCCAGCTGAAGTTCGAGACGAATCGGTGCTCGGGATCCGACACACGCCACCAAACGGTCTTCATCACGGAACTGTAGCATCACAGATGAGCGGGGTGCAAGGTTTGAAGGGAGGGTGGAATGGAACGTACGCGTGCCAAGACTCGACCTCACGGGTGGTCAGAATGACCTTGGCGTTAGGGTAAGCCTCAATCAGCTCCTTAGCAAAGGCGCAGGCAGGCCAGTCGCAGACGGCCTGGCAGTCACCCAGAAGCTGATCCCACTCCTTTCTACCGAACTCACCCACGCCGTCGTACTTGGCCGTCAGAGCATCGTGCCACATCAAGCAGTCTGGCGGGTTCTCCATGCTGGCGGACATCATGTGGTAGGTCTTCATGTAGCCAAGGCGCTCAAGGGCCTTGCGGAGGGCTGTTGGGAGGTCCATTATTAGTGGCGCCGGTCATTGACCGTGTGGCTTGTGGGGTGACACGTACAAGCTGTTCCCGTTCTACCCACACCCAGAGCAAGCACCTTCATCGGCACCGTCCGGTGGCACTGTCGTCTATCGATGCAGGTATCCTCGGTGAAGATATCGGTCCATGGCTGAGGAGCCAGGTTGTCGGAGTGAATCAAAGACATGGTTGAGTATGATAAATCTGATTATAATATGTTTATAAAGAGTTGAAGTCTGGAGCACGAGAAGCCACGGGTAGATCAATGAAGGCCTCGGCAGCGGCGATGATAGTGCTTGTAATGAGAGTCTTTGGTATGAACAAGACCGGAGTGGAACAAGGAAAGAGACGTCCAGCGAGACAGGTCAGACCGGACAAATAAAGATAAGATCACACGAGTTGGAGTTGAGAAGGGAGAGAAGAAAGTCGTCGTTGAACCGGCGATGGCAGGACATTAAAAAGGAGAGTGCGGGTAGATCAACGCGCATCCAGACCCAACCCTCAACTTGCAATGGACTCGTCGTATGTGGTGAAGGATAAGAAGCAGAAAGCTTACTAGTGCCGATGCGGCAATCAATTACTCCCAGATCCACTCGAGAGAAGTCAAAAAGAGGAAATTCACTGCTTCTCGAATAGATGACGAGCACATTGTGACTGGTGGATGGCAATCTGTCTTCTCCATTTTTAGATTGATTTCGTAACAGAAAAAATGACACTTTTTTTTCTCTGTCAAGTTTGTAAGGGCAACGTAAGAAAAAAAAAAGAAAAGAAAAAGTAAAAATAAAAAAAGGTACGCGTGGGAACCATTGTTCCATTGCAAGCCATCAATCGAGCTACCTACTCCGTAATCGTACTCCAGTGGAACGAGGTAACTGGTGTATTTGCAATACAGCTACCTGTTACACCCCCGTCTACACCCTAGTCGAGCCATGACGGCTAAGACCTTGAATGGAATTCTATTCTTCTTTCCATTATTGTTCTCCCCCCACCCCACTCAGGTTCTGGATCGTCTCTGCCTCTTCAACAACAGCTTCTCCCCCAAAAGAAGGGGGAGAAGAGAGCACAACAACCCGCGGAATATATTGTCTGCGATTGTAGCATAATTATAGGCAAGCCCAGGAAATCATGCGAAAGACAACCAGAATAAAAAACATACACCTAAAACAGATTCAAAAAGCAACGGTTGTGACAAGCAGGCACAGATCACGCATAGCCAGACGTCACCGGCTGACGTTCTCCCGCCCTTCCCCCTCGTCCTCCTCAAGCAAAGACAGTCAGGGGTGGGCGGTTTGAGCTGCTCGCCTACTCGACCAGCCATGGTCCGCAGTTTTCCGTCGCCAAGAACTCAACGACCTCTGTGCCATTCAGAAGCGAGGGCAGGGGGAGGAATATCCAAGGAAGTGTAGCCGCGAGTGCCAGATTCCCTGGTGACCCAGCGCGGATGAGTGGGGCACCTGTTGTTCCAGTAATGCAACTGTGAGTCTGTGACAGAAATCTGAAAACCATGGACCAAGAAACTGGAGAAGTGCCAAGCCTCGCTGCCGCGAACCTAGTCGATCGGCCGCGTAGCCCCTCGTTTCGCTGGTCGCTGGAACAGTCCTCCCAGTCTTATGCTTCACTTGACCATCAGCGCCCTGTCGCCGGCGCGAGAGAGTCTGGAAGGCTGGAAGCTCTGTCCTCCTCAGTCGGGCCGTGCCCTTGTGCCCGTTGATTGGTGGTCCTGCCGCAGGCGACGCGTACATTTCTCCGTCATGCAAAAAAAGATGGATTGACGAGATCCACGTCGGCGAATCCATACGTTGCCAGTCCCTTGTCGTCATCATCACCAAGCAACAACAAACAACCGGTAAAGATCCGGTCTAGTCTCCGCGCCATACTGCGGTAAAGCGCAGTGTTGAAAGGGATACGAGAGAAGTCTGAAGTGTTGAAACGTCCTCGATCTGGATTTCCCCCACATTCAGCAGGGGTCTGTAAAGAAACCCTGCATTGCTGTTCAGGGCATTGGTGGAAAGGGACTTCAGCTCCTAGTCTCTCTGGATGAGCAATGGAAATTTGAGGGGCAATCAAAGAGTCGTTGTCCGCCGCCTGATGAAAACAAATGTTTCGCAAATCCTCGTATGAAGTACATGGGGAACTTCTAGGAACGCTTGGGTAGATCAGCGAGCTTCACAAATCACACCGGTCCGATCATTTCCTTTTTGTAGTCGTAAGTGTAGTAGAATCTCCGGTTGCTGTTCCTCCACCCCAAACGTTTGGCGGCACATCAACAGCATGCGAAGCATCGGCACCTCTTAACATAGGCTTGACAGGCAGTTGTACCTTCAGCCAAAATCCTCGTGCAATATGGCTGCTACTACTCAGGCCGTCCCTCGCAGCATTTCAACCACTTCGGATTCAGTCGTGAATTGTACCTTCCAGGGTTAACGATAGCCACTCCATGAGGGACCACAATTTCTCCGTCCAACGGCCTCTTCCACTGGAGCCACTCCTCTGCGCGGTTGGTTCAGACGCTTAACCCACTTTGCCTTCGTCTTCATGGCCAACACCACAGCTGGCGTTGATAAGCCTTTGGGCTATCGATCGTCCGCCACAGGAACCGTGCACCAAAGGATTGTGACTGCTCCAACGAGACCACATTGAATAGCACTGGATCAGTAGCAGTCTCCCCTTGTTGCTCTGTTTAGACCACGTCCAAGCCTGTCCTATTCGCTAAAACTCAATAGGTGCCATATGAACGCATTCTTATAATCGGACCGTGTACCAGTTCCACAAGGTCATAATTAATCACAGCGTATTTCGACCTGCTTGACAGCCTTGTGACGCCGACGTTGCTGCTAGACCATGACTTTATCAAGGGCCATGACTTGGCCATGTAATAGAGCCACTTGAACTTGATCAAAGCCAAACACACTTACAAACGATGAAGTCTGCGTCAGTGGCTGCTGGTTGGTGCTGGGAACCCGCTGGTCGGCCTAGAAGAAGGTTGCATCCACACTTGCTCAGGCCCAGACGATCCTGGATCCACTCATGATTCGAGCTTCTTCTCTTACGGCCACAAACAGTGGCTCTATAGCCACGCATCGAGCTCGTGAGTTGCAAATTTCACGCTTCGGATTCTCGTTTCATGCATTTTTCATTTCCGCTGAAACTTTGAACCCAGAAAAGTTAGCCGTCGGCTAAAACTTCCCCAGCCATGACTAATGCACCAGAACGGCCTTTCATCTGATAAGGTGAATTTCAGGAGAAGTTTTTGATCGTAGCTTTCTTCTTCTTCAACGAAGAGAGACATTTGTTCCCCAAGTCGTGCGAATCTGGTTCTTCAGCCCGTTTCCTCCCGTATATCTCTGCACCGCCTCCAAACAAGTAACCAAGGCCGATGTGGCGTGACGTTTCGTGCTCGGAGGTCGGGGAGTATCGATTTCTGCAGTAGTGGAGTCGAGCCCCAGCTTGATAGTCACCCGCCCAGTGGACCCATCCACCTATCAATCAACCCAGCTGCAATCTATCCCGAATGAATCGTCGTAAGCCCCATCACACCGGTCTGTATCAGCCTACGTGTCAGGGGTGCCGGTCACGGCTTGGCAAGGCGGTTGAACCAGGAGACAAGCACGATGGGGGGTCCATCCATGGAAAGGACCATCGGCTCAAATTTCCGTCCGTCGTGGTCGGGATCCGTAACGGCTCAGGGTCAAGCCTATCACGGCTCGAGGACGAAGCGAGAGCCAAATGAGCAGGCAAGTATGATTGTTGAGCACGCTCGCACAGTTGATGAGGATCATCCTTGGCGAGTGCAGTACCTGCTACGGAGGACGGGCCGGCGTTTGATCATCATTGAACGAAGGGGACGGACGGGACAATCGTGTGGCAAGTTGGCAACTGAGGCGAGGCAGGCTGCGTCTGTTACAATGTGTATGCATTGTTGAAGGGAGATGCGTGCCGTGATTGCCATCTCCGCGAAGGTCGTCACTCGTAAAGGAAAGTATCATAGCCCACTAAATGGGTCTACTCGAGGTCGTCAGACCCATAGTTGGCGGAGCGTTTGCTGGGTCAAGTCTGGTCATCAAAGGGGTGAAAAAGAGCCCGTAAAGACATGTGACAGGAGGAAGGGACGAGGGCATGATGTTCCGACAAGGAAGGCCGGCTCTGTTGTCAGGTGTGCCATGCTACACTTGTGGTAGACGGCCTGATTCGAAAGACAGCCATGAAGAAATTTGGGCCAGCGTTTCCAGTTCGATGCTGCATCAAGTCGGAACAAAATCGAACTCGAGTCCGTCGTACCTGAAGGGTAGGCCTCATTAAGTATACCTTGCCAAGAGCATGTCACCATCGCCGGGAAGTTGCTCGCAATCGATCCCCACGATCACCTCATTTGAAGAACAGTAAGCTGAACCCCCTTTCTGCTTGGAATTGATAGCGCTAATAGCGTCAAAGGGATTGAAGTGAACCTGCCCTTAGATCTGAGACAATCAGATAAGCTTAATTGGGCTGCTGGCATGGCGCAGTGAGTGGTGCGGTGTCAGCTGTGAGATGTCTCGGATGATCCGCCTGTCGAGCATCACGGCAGTCATTCTCGGCTGTTGAAACCCCTGGCAGCAACCATTCAACTGACCTCGCCAATTTTGACCTCGTTTTTTTCAACAATCCAGGTCTGAACCCTGAAAGCTCCGCTGGAGACCCTGAAAATGGCCCTGAAACTGGTTACAGAGATAAAAGGAATACACTAAGGGCGCTGCATGTGCTGAATATCTTTTATCGGCCACAAAAACACGAGACATGCTTTTGCGTAAGAAATTAGAATTTGTACATTAGATATCGCCATGAGGAAGTTTCAGACGAGCGCTAGAGGTATGTAACAGTGCAGGAGGAAAAAAACCTGCATTAAAGAACCAGATCCAAGAAAGCCCTAACTCCTATGATGACCATAGCCCGTGGTCATATATGCAACTGAAGCCAAATCGAAGCCGCACAGGCATGGAGCAAGATTTCAACTGCCTCCGCACCCTCTTGCAGTCCACCCTTCTCACTACTGCTTTCTCCTCATTCCAGTTTGTCCAAGTGTTCCAACCTCGTGAGCACGACCTGCTTGCTCGTCTCCTCAATTTCGCCCGCAAGGAACACCTCGTCCAGAATGGCATATACCTGTATGAAATTCCGTTAGCCGTGTTTGATTCTCCGACGAGCCAGAGGCACGACCGCTTCCACCAGCTTGCCCTCCCTCCATGTCCAGGTTCAACCCCCAAGCTATAGCTGACGCCGCACGCACGCACGCACCTTGTAGAAATTGAACACCAAATCTAGCTCACAGACGTTTCCGAAGAATTGGTCCAGAACCTCGACGAAAAAGTGGATAGCCTCCAGATAGGCCAGCTCATTATCAGTGGCGTCGACGCAGGCGCAGAAGAACAACCCCGCATATCGCCGGTATACGATCTTCGTACTCCGCTTGAACTCAACAAAGTTCGACTGGTATTTCTGGTCTCTCGGAGCTACCAAGCGATGGACCTGCATTCAGCAATGGTTGGTAAGCTGTCGCTCAACGGCCGCTAGGTGGGATGCGGGGGCAAGCTGCTATGACAGTTCGATATGGCGTACCTCGCCTTTCAGCTTAACCTTCTCTTCGTCCTGCAGTAAGCGTATTTTAGTAGATGATCCAGTACAGCTGCCGCAGTGTTCAGGACACTTACACTGTATGGGGCGTACCATTTGGCAAGCCGCGTCTTCCCCCTGTTCGGTCTCCTGTCAGCTCCTGAGTTGCGTTGGATGAGAGATGTTAGCTGGGCGCTTACTGGCGATTCTGAACAAGAATAAATGATAGGACCATCCTGTCTAGTTTGAAAAGCGGATGCCCTTCGAAAGAATGAATTGATGCTGCAGCTCAAGCTGTTACATCTATCAAGTCTCCGCTTGCGTCCCCGAGGAAGTGCGGGACGGACTCAATATTGCCGGGCTTGACCGCCCAATATTGGAGATCAATTTGAGGCCGACAGTGTGAACTTCATAGCCTGATGCTTGTCCAGATTTTGTAAAATCCATTGTTCATTGTTCTAACATAGTACTTTTACCACGATATAGTCTCCCATATAACTACTGCTTAGTACCATGGGCAATTGATGCCCTTGTGAGCCTGTTTACCCCTGCTTAGTAAAGCAAAGAATCAGACCTAGCGCCATCTGCATATCACTCCGGTCACCAATTGGACCGATGAACTCACCACTCTTCACCTGCATATCCACCCTGTGAAACCGCGCAGTGTGCGCTGCACCTTGCTTGCACACCTTAATATGAGCTTGCATCCTCACCTTTCTGGGATGTTGCACCCTCGTTCCACTCATCGGAACCATTGAAAGCGCATTGTCTTCTCGCCAAACAACCAGTACCGTCGCAGAAACACCTCCGCTGCCCATTCCGCGGTTTCCCACCTTCCAACATGCCTGTTTACATGCTCTATGGCTTCCGCTGGCCTCGCGCCGGCTTCACGGGGATTCGCGTCTACGTGGTCTTGCACAATCTCGAGGACGCCACCGCCGAGTATATCCAGCAGCCAGTCACCACCGAGCTTCTTCTCGAATCTTTCCAGAAGACAGAGTCCAGTATCGTCGAGCGCTTGCCGGAGATGCGCTTCATCGAGCAGTACGACCCCGAAGACACGAGCGATGCGGCTGTCAGCAAGCCGTTCGCCTACGTCGCAGCGAAAGTCATATCTATCCCCGAAGCTGGGGTCCCTTGCTCCGAAACAAGCTGGACGCCGGAGGATCTCTTCAGCAAGTCGCCGTTGGATCCCGCCGCCGAAGAGGCTATCACGGAGATGCGCGACAAGTACGCTGCGGGAGAGCGGGTCGGTTGGTATATTGTCTACAATGGCGATCCCGAGAGGTGGTTCCCTCCGTCAGACGAAGAGGAGGATAGTATGGACGACGACGATGAGGGATCTTACGGAAATGGCGAAGAGTACGATAACGATCAGACGCCACCAGCGACGCCTTCATCAGCCACGGTAGGTTTCGAACCAAAGTTATTTTGCTGGGTGTCATGGCCCCTAACAGAGTTTGTGTTATGCAGGTACGCCTTCCCCAGCGGCTGACAAGATTTTTTGGCCGGAAAGCGGCCTGATGCCTGTACTGGGGGATGTGATTCTTAACGTCTTACGCTTGACGATTCACCATCGACTTGACTTCCATCGCAAAGCTGGCTTTGGGTGTGTTCGGAAACCTCGTTTCGGATGGCTCACTTGTTTTTATTCAGCGCGATAAATGTCTATTTCGTTCAACATCATTCGTTACACGGCGGCAGTACCCTACATGGTACCATAGCCTCCTTTTTGCCAAGCGGCATCGAAGGTCGCCTGGTCCACAGCGAATTGTTTGATGTAATCCTTCTCCAAATCATGTGCCCTCTTGCCAAGCAGGACCAAACTGTGAAGAGGTCGACCCATGTCAACTTCTGCCAGCTCCTTGAGAGTACCAGCAACCAGCTTCTGGTCAGGAGCTCCAACACGAGCGGCTCCGACAGCCAGACTGTCCGGGGTCCAGACTTCCTCCTGGCGCTCCTCCTCCGTTTCGAGCATCTGACTGGCGCACTGCGCAACTGTCATGAAGCGCGGAGGCTCGTAGATCAGACGTCCACGGGCCATGTTCTCGAGGGACTGCTCCTTGACCTTGATATCCAACAGGACGAGTGTGTGAAGACCCAGTCCAGCATTCTCCTTAACACGGTCGTAGTAGGACGAAGGCTTCCAGGTCTCAGTGAAGAAGACCATGCTGACGGTCTGTCCGAAGTTGTACAGCTGCAAACCGGTGCAGCCGATACCAGACATGATCGATGCATTAGGGATGACTTTCGACTCGATGCCCAATTCACGGGCGCGTAGGACTAGATCGGTGTGTGTTGTAGCACTAGTAGCTGGCCGTCAGTCCCTTTGCACATTCCCCCATCAAACTACATGTCACTGTGAAAACACATACCCGAAGGGGTCGCCAACCACCAGGAAAGCGACATCGACTTTGTCGGCTTCAGCGAGGATATCATCGCTGCCAGTCTCGACCAATTCGCGGTCCGCTACGATAACAGGACGTCCATAGAAAGCTTCCTACTGAAGTGAGTCATTCCCAGTCAGCCACCTCTGCACCGATGTGCTATAAGTATGATCGCGCAGAGACACCCACTAGTTTCTCCTTCTCCACAAGGAGGATGCTTGTGTACGCTTCGAGGTAAACGCGCTCGGCCTTCTTGACCACCTCCAGACCTCTGACAGTGATGTCAGTCTCATCGGCAAGGCCGAGTCCCACTAGATAAAGCATTGTGATCGTGCAATGGGGTGTATTCGCTCTTGAGAGAAAGTTGATTGCGACGTAAAAGTTTCCCTTATCACCCCGCCAAATGCGGTGGAAGGCGGAGGAACTGATGATCCGGATATGTGAATCGGGGAAGCACGCGCGTGTCAGGTGACGTGCCTTCATCCTCCGCGGGATGTCCTGGGGTCTGTCTATTGAGGGACGCTCTATTCATCAGCCTCCAGATTGTTGGAGTCTTGAGATCATTTTTCTGCTGTTTTGTTCTAGTGCGGTCTGTCTGGATTGCCAGACGACCTGCCCTTGAGTCTCCGCGAAGATGTCTACGGACCGGACACCGAAGTATCGTCAAGAGATCCAGCAGGTAAGCGTGTCAATTAGCACTATTGAATTCGCTCAATTGATTGAACTGCACATCTCCGTATCGCATGTCTACATTTATTCATGTTTGTATTGCTTGCCTCAGACTGTGTTCCCTTTTGGAACCAGGCTGCACATTAGGTTGCTATCGAGTCCATTCACAGCAGCCTATATCGACTGCTGTCGATCTGAACTACTATAGTCACTTGCATCCGTTTGCCCAATTTATGCTGAGACGATTCACTCTATCCTTCCCGTTTCCCTCTATTTGAACTCATCTGTCCATCATAATTGCTCTCAAACTATGTCACTGTTCCTGGTTCAATGTCGCTTGACCCTTCATCGCGATTCCTATCTATACCTTATTCCGCCTCCAGACTTTATCAATACTTCAGCCCTCAGCATGTTTGCTCTCCCAGGAGGATTTTCACCTGGTTCGGCGTATGAACGGAGGATGCGGATGTCGAGAGCGAAGAGCAGTTCAGAGATCGCTTGACTAACACTTGGCGCCAGATGATGTTCGTCTCTGGGGAAACTGCCGAACCCTCGGTTGAAACGACTACTCTCATCGAGGAGATTGTTCGCCAACAAGTTGTCGAAATTGTACGATACCTTCGTCGCTTTTTCCAACCTGTGGATGACACTAACGCCCCTACTAGCTTGCTAGAAGCACCGCTCTAGCAACCCGCCGCGGTGTGCGCTCTATCTCCACCGATGATCTGATCTTCTTGATCCGTCACGATAAGGCCAAGGTATCTCGCCTGAAAACCTTCCTCTCATGGAAGGACGTTCGGAAGAACGTCAAAGACTCGGACGACAAGGGCGGTGCCGATGCGGCCGACTTCGCCGCCGCCGACGATCCCATCGCCGGAGGCGTCGTGGCTGGACCTCAGGACGTTGCGTCGAAGCCGAAGAACAAGCGGGCCCGTGTCGGTCTCGCTTGGGACGTGAACAGCTTCTATTCCGTGCAGGTTCCCGAGCGCGAGGATGAAGAAGACGAGGAAGAGGAAGAGCAGAACTACGCCACCCTGCAGCGCCTTGCCGCTGCCGACGAACGCACCAAGCACATGACGAGGGAAGAATATGTGTTCTGGTCGGAATGCCGTCAGGCGTCCTTCACTTACCGCAAAAGCAAGCGATTCCGGGAGTGGGCCGGGTTCGGAATCGTAACGGAGTCGAAACCTAACGATGATATTGTCGACATCCTCGGGTTCCTGACCTTCGAGATAGTGCAAACACTGACCGAGGAGGCCCTCAAGGTCAAGGAACGGGAGGATCGAGAGAAGAACCGTCGTGGCGGCGCAGATAATGGCGAGGATTCCAAGAAACGTAAGCGCGAGACCGGACTCTTCGATCCCCCCGAGGAGGGCCGTACTCCTGTCGAACCCAAGCATATTCGCGAAGCCTATCGCAAACTACAGGCGACTCCCAATAAGAACATCGCCATGCTGCTACACAACGGTCGTGTGCCGGCCCGGATGCCATTACGATTGGTGAGTGTGTTTAGACCTCTCTCTGCGCAACGCTAACAGCGAGAATAGATTTGATGGGGTTATTTTGTTATACGGCGTCTATTGGAGTCCAAGCTAGTGATACCCTCAACATGCACTCCTAATTTTAGGACCAGCCCCTTTGCATGATCTGGTGCGATAGCATTGCCATAATTAATTTGCTTTTGTTCTGCACCAAGACTTTTTTGCTTACGCCCCACATATCTGGAGTTTCTGCCATTGGAGGATGTATCTTTCATTTCGCAAATTAATACAAATATGATACTAGTGACATGCTACTTCGCACATGTGTCATTAGGGTCATGAAATCATAGGTAATCCACTCGTCCACGGCTTGCGTGGTTCAGCGAATAACGAACAGCGAGAATTTACTCGTTCGCGTGCGTACGGCGCCCTATCATTCCCGATTAGTATCGATCTAATGTTCAATGACGATAAGTGAGAGGAAAAGCAAAAGAACTTACACTCCTCCAGCTCCGCCCGCGACAGCTCGCGGATGCTGTTGATAGCCGGCACGTTCCCGGTGGCCACGCTCTTGACGGTCTCGACGGCGCGGGTGAGCATCCCCTTGCGAGCCAGCGCATAGTGGGCGGTCACCGCCTCGAGCTTGATGACGCCGATGCGGGGATCCTCGGGGCCACCGTCGTGCACGCCATCGCCCAGGTCGCCGAGCCAGGCCTGCAGGGCGGGCGAGTAGTACTTCTTGACTGTGTCGCGGTCGGAGATGATGGAGGCGGTGCCGGAGATGGAGGCCCAGGAGCCGCTGAGCGGGTCCAGGAAGGACATGTTGACCTCCTTGGGGTGGGCGGTTAGGTCCATTGTCTTGTGCGAGAAGAGGTTCGTGTGGAAGATCAGGTCGATGCCGCCGTGTTCCTGTGCATTTGCAAAGTCTCAGGTTAGCTTTGATAGAAAAGGACTGGGGGAGGAAAGGGGCATGTGATTGTTGTTTTGGAGACTTACCTTGCCGGCGAGCGCCATGCAGCGGGATGTGAGGAGCTCATCGTCGGAGGACTTGGTGGTGAGCATGCCGAACTTGGAGTCACTGATGAACGTGACGAGGTCCTCGACCTTCTGGGGCAGAGGGGGGTCCTCGTGGGACTTGGCTGTGTAGGGGTCGAGGGGCTTGTTGCCGGCGGCGGTGTTGATGGTGCTAGACATTTTGGTGGTGGTTGTGATTGTGGGTTATGTGTGAGAGATGTGTATTCAATTGAGCAATCCTGGTGTTCTCAAGATGATAGTAACTGGAGGAGATGTGAGCGAGCTGCAGGACATGGACTGTATTTATCAGATATGATCGATTGCCAAGGCTGGCGTAGATGTGACGTCAATGGGTGTCATTGCTTGCGTTACTCTATCGCCTGTTGATCCTCGATGAACGCCGTGACTTCGATTGCGCTAACCTGGAGGTTGATGTCAACTGCTCTGATGATCGATCGATTCGAGGCAAGCCCATAGGCAGTTTGTGCGTGTAGATTTGGACAAAGAAGTTACCTTTTCCGCAGTCGCTAGCTCAATTAAGCATAAACGGATATGACAGCCATCGATAGCTGATACAGCCTTAGTTACTTAATTGAAGCTCCAATTATACGCGATGTTGACACCGTCTTTAGATCTACAGATATAATACAACCGGTGTTAAACCTTTTCAAACATGTAGTAGAGCTTTCATCGCATTCTCTCCTCTGTACTATTTATTATATACTCTAAATATACGTAATGGAAATTAACATCATTATGGACATTAGAACCCTTAGTCAAGAGAATTGAATAAAATTTCCCTCGTAGAAAACCCTGATAATAATCCCTTTAGTCCAAAAGAACTCTGTCAACGCCTAATGTAAGAATTGTTATGATAGAGATATAAGTATCTCCAATACCAATGCCGGTTGTGCCAGTGCTACTATAGTTATATGTCACACCGCCCCTCCACACGTGACATGTTGGCATCGTCTAGACAAATACCAGCAATGAACTCAGGTCGAGAACTAAGGTTCCAGTCCTCTTGAACACACATTCCTCTAGCCATCGCAATGTCAAGCTGCAATATATAGCCATAATGCTGCAGTGGCTAGTTCCGCGCCTGCTACTCCCAGATTTCTTATGGTCTGATCATAGGGCGACAGTTCTCAGCGACCAACTACCACCGATTCCTCGCGTAACTCCCCCACGTGTCCGTTAATTCTGGGGTGTCATCCATACATACCTCCGACAGTTTTCCCGATCATATTGCAGCTGGGTCGGGGTCGCCTACGATAATCAGATCGCCCAGCTTCCGTTCGGGCTTATTCTAAAATGGTCGGACGGTACTCGGCTTGAGGAGGTTTTGGCAATACAAGTCGCCAGGCAAGCCGGTCTACCTGTGCCCACGGTTATCTGCTACGGAGAGCATGCCGACAGTCCGCGCGCGCCGGTTTCAATCCTGATGACGCGGGTTCCTGGCAAGGAAATAGGTCAAATTTATAATACGCTAAGCGATGAAGAAAAAGAGGCGGTAGCTCGACAGCTGGATCAATATTTAACGTGTATAAAAAACTGGGAAACCCCATGGGGCGAAACAGAATCTGCTCTATAGTGGGAACGCCGATTAGAAGTATCCGGGTGCCCAATCACCTGGCCGGCCCATTCAGGTCAGAGCAAGAACTCAACAACTATTTGATAGAACCTGCTTGGTCGGGCGGGTTTTCTTTCGAGGAGGCTTATTACAAGGCGATGAATCAAGCTAGGAAAATGAATGAACTACCCCATTACATTGTCTTTACACACTGAGATCTGAAACACCACAATATTATGGTCCATGAGGGACGCATTACAGGTTTTCTAGACTGGGAATCAGCAGGCTGGTATCCTGAGTATTGGGAATACACAACAGCGTTGAGATTCACGCCGGAGGACTTCTGGTGGTACCACTTCGTGGCTGAGCTCGGTGGAAAGTCTTTTATGCGGGAATTGGATTGTGAAAGGGCATTGACTTGTTTGACTAGTGCCTCTTATTACTGGTGAACAATCCGCTTCTTTCCAAACTTTCATTCCATATTACCTTCAGTGTGAGACTAGTATCTTGAAACCATCAGTCTCTCGTGTCGAAGAGCTGCCCAGTGTGTCGCTGCTTATGCCTCACAGCCCCAGTAGGTCGAAGAGGAACTGTGATATCGATTCATTGCAGATGCTAGTCTTAAGTTCTAGCTCGCGTACATACTCTCGGTCCATCTTGGCTTTAATACAACAGGAACAACCCGGACAAAAGTGAGATTAGGATTTAGGTTTCGGCTCAGTTACCGGAAAGATCCAAGTTTCATCCAAGGAGTCGAAACTTTGTTCCACCAAGTACAATGCCTACTCGATGTGCACCAGAACGCATGAAGTCCGACTCAACGGGCGGGTTTCTCTTCGAACCGTTGCGGCCTTTCCAGCTTTGATAGGAAACTGTTAGCCACTGCTCTACCTGTAAAGAAGAAGAGATATTCAGCCATACCATGAAACAATGAAAGAATGACTCACATTCAAAGCCCGCATAGAGTAGAAGTTGCTAATGGCCTTGGCTGAATATTTCCTCGCTGCACCAGCCGCATTGGCGTTGCCCTAGTCTTTAGCCTCGGCTTCGAGACTGTGCAGATTGTCACATCTAAGGATCACTTTCCCAGATATTCTGGATCACAGTCCGATTTATCGCTTGTCACATTTTAAGCGCCGAGAAATTATGTACGTGCGATAAGATCTCACACATGATGCTGATGTGTCGGCGGTTAGTCGAAGCAGCACTGCACACCATAGGATAGGTTAACTTAGCCGCCACGCCAAACCAACCCTACACCAAGCTGTATTTATAGTCCGTCTCATGCCTTGACCTGGATTATGGGAGGTGCACCAGAGAATCCCGCCACAGCATAAGCAGGCAGTTTGTGCATGTAGAGTAGTTGTGTGGTCTGAATTACAGAAAGCATAAGGTTGAGATTCAGACCGCTCTGGCAGAGGGGCCTCTCTGTCTGGGGATGCTTCTGAGCTCCCCATGAGCCGCAAGACTCTATGCTACCGCGTTTCAGGTAGACTTTCCATGCAACAAGCTCAGGCTTCAGGCTCCCTGAGACATGTGGGCGTGGTGCAAGGCGCAATAACACTTTTCGTGATCGCCCGTTGGGGGCCATTCGACAACACCTCGAAGCAGAGATTATTCGACCGCCGATCATATATGTGCCACGAGATGGGAAAATTCTGTAAGTGGGGTACGCTCGTTGCAACCATGTGGTAGATATCCACTCTGCTGTTTGTTCTGCCTGGAGACCCTGTAGAGTTGACCACCAGTATAATCAGCACTTGGAGCTTTCGAACGAAGGGCTGTACTCTTTTACTTTCTTCCATGATCTCAGATACCACTAAAAGTAGGCTATATTTGCATCATCGAGGCCGTAAAGACTGTGTCACTTCACGACAACCAGACCTCTTTCCCATCTAGTACGGTACAATCTGTTTTTCATGATAAGCTCTCCGTGATATAACCTGAATCTTGAGAGCACACGGCGCACGAACTGGTTTGAACAGGCCGAAAACTCATAAGGCCGATATATCGTGGTTACGATGAGCGGATTAGGGGGACTTTCAGCCCCCGCGAGTCCTTCTGGAAGGAGTATCTGACGTCAGACACAGTTTCAGACAACACTTTTGGTGGATCATTGCCACATGGCGATGCTCATAGAAACTTCGCAAGTATTGTTGGATTCTCGAAATTAGTTGGATGGGAAATTGGATGCGAACGAGGTCTGGGGGCGAAAGTTGTGTTGTTTGAAGGATTGTGTCGGGGGAGCAGGCGGAGATGCGCAACAACAACCAAATTCCCTCGTTTCTTCCCTTCCTCTTTCTGACAACAACCTCCCCTCTGTTTCCTGTCGCCAGACAATTGGCTTCCATCATCAATTGGGTTATGGACATGAGCTCAAATATCAAGTCAAAGGTATGACAGTCTGCATCTAACATGTTCTTTTACTAATTGCTTACAGCTGTGTTGTTTAAAGGGATGCCTTGCAGACTCTGACACGATTTGGCCCCAACGCCATGACGAACTAGTCTCTTCAGGCCCGCGAGGAGAGCAGAGACTGCGATGCTCCCTTTCTCGAGCTCACTGCCACATTCTCTCATAGCGGATACCCGTTCAACAAGGACAGGCGGCCTGTCATGATGCAATTTATTTGCTATTCGCAGTGCCTGGATTCCAGCCGGTCAGTTGATCGTTCCCGCCGAGTCATAGCCAAGTACTAGATTACTTGGCCTACCAGCTTCTATGGCTCCCGTGGAACTTGTAGCCCCTGTTCAAACATTACGGACCCAATATCTGTGCTGAGTTAGGGGAAAGCTGAGAACAAGGATTGCGTACTGGGCGGAATCGGCTCCGGCGAGGGATCCCATCTGGGGGAGGCGACGTATATCACCTCCTGCAGGTCCCCGTCAATTTAATAAAGCCTATTTGTTTTCGGTCCTCCTGAATCCTTGGGTGGCGATCCTACACCATGGCTCTACCTGCTATGCCTCACTACAGACAGGACCCTTACCCGCCGCAATACTCAGAGATTCCTATTTCTCTTGGCCACACGCCCTACGGTAACCCCTACGCTTCAAAGTCTTCCGACAGTCTCGGATCACGATCGACGTTATACTTCCTCCCGAATGACATACTCGAAGATCACATCGACGACGTGGCAGGGCAAACTCAACACAACAAGATGCCTACCAAGCACATTGACAACAAGCTTCTTCTGGCAGGATTGGAGACGAACTGGGACTCTTCCGACCGCTTGGCTGTGCCGAGTCTGAGCATTCCCAAAGCTGGCATGTATGATCGACCACCGCTCAGTCCATGTCCTTCATATACATCGCGATCGAGTCCCACGATGAGCTCTTCCTCCACGACCGAATGGAAGTATAACAAGCCGCTTCCCCCGGTTCCCAACCCACAAGAGAAACATATCCATGCCCCATACCAGTCAGGCTCGCCCGTTGGAGAGTCTTTGCCGCTCTACAGCTCGCGGCCTCAGACACCTAGACCTATGACTCCAGGCTCTATGCCATCGCGATCGACAACGCCACAGCCACCAATGGCACCTCGACCTCTTACTCCTCGATCAGTAACCCCCCAGCCTCTGAACCCTCGCCCCATGACCCCTCAGCCGTTGAACACTCGGCCCATGACCCCTCAACTTCCGACGGGCCGACCAATGACCCCCCAGCCGTTAACTCCTCGGTCTTTCACGCCGCGACCTAACGATCAACGTTCACTGAACCCAGAATTCTCCTTGGCCGCCGCTGCGGCATTGGACGCATTTCCGAACGGACCTTCATGGCCACAGCACGTTGACGCTTCATCTACCACAGGCCTTTTTCCTCCATATCATTCTGAAAAGGGCCTCTTTCCTCCGTACAACCCGAATACTAGCGCACCAGCTCAAAACCGTTCCGACGGGCCCTCAAAGCAACCATCGAAGAAGTCATCGGAGCAAAGGCTATCCGCTAAAGACGACGGCGACGAGAAGCCCATATGGCGAACACTCAAAGCGGGAGTGCGACGCGTTCTCACCACGAAAGCTTCATCTTCAAATTTGAAGAAACCCCAGTCTCAGAATGACCGGAGAGCATCCATCATCGTTCGGATGTCCACGAATCCGCAACAGCCACAAGAGTCAGGAGATCAGCAACATGATTGGATGCAAAATGTCGAGAAACAGGACGAAGAGCGATATCAAGATGCGGTCAGCCGCATGAAGAATGTGCTTTCCAGTCTCTTAGAGGATGGGTATTCAATGGACGCGATTCTTCAAGCCGAAGCGAACCAAAAGTTTCTCCGGTCCCTCTTCTTAAGAGTTCAAAATGACCCTCTTCTCGGCTTGAACGTTGCGCCACCAGCACCACCAAGTCGCTGTGCATCTCCTGCACCTCTGCAGCTCAGTCCTTCTTTCCTTCCAGATTCTCCCCGCCTCAACGTTCACAGTCATTCCCATTCTTATCCTCCTCCCAGCTCACCAGCTCTTCCCCCACCTCCTCACTTGAACACCCATACTTACTCCCATTCTGTTCCCCCTCCGTCGCCAGCGCCTACCAGTCCTCTACCTCCATTACCCTTCTCTCAGACCCATCCTCCCACTACCCCTGCTTCACCCGCTCCTACCTCCAAGACCCGCAAGACCGGCGCTGAGGACGAAGACGCTTGGGAGTATGTTGGCTACGAAGATGACGCCACGATACAGGACGACGGTCCATCAATACACTTTTTCAACCTCGGCGAAAATCGATCTGACACCTCCAGCATCTACCCACGCTACACAAAGATGATGGCGGAGATTGAGGACGACTTAAGCAAAGCATTCCCACCGACCCGCTGGAGTCTGACCAAGCCCGGCCTAGAAGATATGACCCTCCAAATCCTCCTCCAGATTGACGATCTGGACGACCTCTTCGCGTTCGCCCAAGTCAACCGCGCCACCTACCAAGTCTTCAAGCGTCACGAACTGCCCCTGATGCAGAACACCATCCGCCTCAAATCCCCCGCCGCCTGGGAGCACCGCCAGATGAGCGACATCAACTCGCAGGAATCCTCGTCGGAGGAAGAGCCCTTCACGGCCGCGATCTACTACCGCCACTACACCCGCGACCACCGCACGCTCGCCACGCTGAAGGGCCTGATGATGACCCACTGCCGGGCCGTAATGCGCTCGGCCTCGTACACGGCCCTGTCGCGGCCGGCCAGCCCCGCGGCCCGCAAGATCGACAACGCAATCTGGCGCGTCTGGACCTTCTGCCACCTGTTCGGCATGCAGACGGGCCGCGACCACGACATCGACGGCCAGGTTAGCTGGCTGCGCGGCGAGGTGCGCTCCCCGTTCCAGCCCTGCCCGGACCCCAACGACGTTTGCAGCATCCTGTTCGACCCGCCCCCGGGCTTCGGCGAGGGCAACAACAACACCAATACCCCCGGCGGCCTCTCCGTGACCGACATGCAGGACATGGACGAGGTCTGGACCTGTCTCAAATACATGTTCGGCTTCCTGCGCGGCGAGACCGAGCGCGCCCGCCGCTTCGGCGTCTTCGCCAACGCCAACGCTACTAGCAGTAGCGACGACGGTGACGACGGCAGCGGCAGCGGCAGCGGCAGCGCCTCGTCCCCTCCCTCTTCCCCCCCTGACTCCGACAAACGCAATCAAGGCATGATCATGCTGCACGAATGGATCTATTACCTAATGACCCTAGGCCCGGAAGCGGTCGTCGAGCTCGCCCCCTTGGGCCCGGATACCCATGCCGAGACGACGTTCCAGCGCGCCATGTCGCGCGGCTGGACGACGTGGTCGGCGCCCCGGCCCGGCGCCACGCGGAGTGCTTTCTTGACTGATGCGTTGGGCCGGGTGTCTGGTGGGTTGCGGCGGTTGGAGGAGTTACAACGAGAGCTGTGGTATAATTATTTGTGAACCGTGTGGATGGGTGAGTTATGTAGGTTTTATTTGGGATGGTGCGGGTGTTTTCTGGGTAGTGAGCGAGGTTTTCTTTCTTCTGTCTCTTATCCTTCTTCGGGCAGGTATTTATGAATTGGGAGGGTTTAATGAATGGAATGAGTACTGGCTCTGATTCTTGACATAAGTTCTGTGTTGCAGTAATTTCCCTTAAATCTTGTAGTTCATATGCAGTATGAAACCGTGCCACTGAAAACATCTCCAATAACGAAGACCGGCCAATTTAGTCTGCCTGCCGACATGACATGTAGCAAGCTCGATCAAGACGCCTAGCTCAAAAAGCTCGTAGACCACTTTCACATAACCCATGAACCCCAGCCCAACCAAAACCAACCCACAATCACGGCTCGGCCTTGAACACGCCCCGAAGCAAAACCGCACCCCCAGCCACCAAGCCCACCATCGTCGGCAGCTCCCAGCCCGGAACAACATCCTTGCCACTCGACGTCGCCGACAGGTCTCCATGTTTGATCATGGTCCGGATAATGGGATAATACCACCAGGACCACGAAACCGCGATCCAGAGCACCACCCAAACGAAGCCGACGCAGCGCTGCCAGAGCGGGGGGACAGCCGCATCATCGCGGGTGGTGGCAGCGGGGACAACAGTATCAGCATCAGCATTCACACCTCCGTTCTTCTGCTTCTGATTGTCTTCGGGTCCAGTCTGGGCGGGTCCGCGCCGACGGCGAGACCGCTGCGTTACCGTCGTACGCCACACATACTGCACCGCATCCTCGAACATGATGGCGACGATATGCGACAGGAAGAACAGGGCCGTGCCGAAGTGCGCCCCGCCCTCGACGCCGGCGACGATATCGCCGATCATGTGCATGATCATGGAGAGACTGAATACGATGAAGACGTTGACGTAGCGCTCGACGAGGGAGGGTCTTGATAATTTGAGAATGCGGGTGGTCACGCAGTTTGAGAAGCTGCTGAAGGGCCAGCGGAGGTATTGGTGCCAGAACTTGCTAAAAGGGTGGCCAGGGTTAGATACGAGTCTCTGCTCGGATTTGTGGACAGAAGGGGCAAGGAGGAGTCAAGGATAAAGGTGGGATTTGGGTGTTCAAATAGAATGGAGACATACCCCCAAAATCCACGGCACGTGTAGGAATCGGCAAGACTTCCGAATAATGGCGGCCATTGAGACACAGAATGGTCGCCCGAGCCGACGAAGAGGATGGCCGCGCCGCGATACATCATATCCAGGAACAGGTAGGAAGGGATCAACCCGATAATGTAGGTGCAGGCCAGCCGGCCGGGCCATTGGTCCAGTCGGTAGGAGAACTCCTGTCCGCGGTTGTAGAACGATTGGTCGGGGTGGAAACGCGGATGCGCAAGGAGACGGAGGAAGAGACCCTGCCAGATGATGATGGCGAGCTGGCGTACGACGTACTGCGTGCGGCCGGGAGGAGGGTTGGTTTGCATTACAGCGGGGAATGGAGGGATGTTCTTGGGCTGCCATGGGGTGCCGATGCCCCGGATGGTGAGTAGGAGCTGGAAGGCGGCCTTGGACCGGTTTGGCAGTGTGGTAAGGTCGACGTCGGTGACATAAAGGAGATTTATCAGTTGGATGAGGAAAGTGAAGGAGTGGCCGCCGGTTCGCATCTTGAACATAAAAGTCGCCGCGCTTAGGTTATTGAGCACCCCCTCGAGGTAGGCCAGGTAGACCATTGAGGGAAGACAAATCCATCGCATGAAGGAGCCCTTGGGGGTCCGAGTGAGCAGTGTGATCATGATCAGATTCTGCAAAGCCATGACCACGACACAGCAAAGATCTGGTGAGATCGCCATTATGGGTCGGTTGCCTGGACTTTGATCGGCCTTGGTGCAAGCCAGGCTCTCGAAGACGCCCGGGGCATGATATATCTAGCTTATTCCCTTGCTCGAAGGACAAGCATTTTGCGACTGTTGCCGTTTGGGGTTTCAATGCAGGGAACTGTGCGACACGAGAAAGTAGCAACCCAAGCAGACACTGTCAGCTCGTCAGTTCACGGCAGCAGCGAAAGTCCAATAGGATGACAAGACACAGGGAGCCCATGAGACTGATGCTTTTTGTGTGCTACCTTACCTCTGTGTTCACGACCCTGGCGTCAGGCAATTCCATCGTCCCTGTTCTAGTCTTGAGGACAATCCGGATTCGGGCGGATGGGAACTGGATCTGACGCAGGAACAGCTGATCGCGATAACAAAGCTCACATGGATCATGTAAGGTGAGCTAAGAATTGGAGAAAAAGATTCCAATCTCTAGTGCAGATCAGTCTAGATGAAGTCTCGCTTCACGACTGGATGAGAGTCATGCCATTGTGTATCCATGTTCTTGTGCCACGGTAGATGCATGGAGCTCCGAGTGAGTGCTCTGGCTGCATGGCGGACCTTTCTCCTGGTGCAGACAGCCCTATCAGTGGTTGGTGAAGAGGAGGCTTTTCTCGATTCTGGGAACAACCGAAGCGAGGAAAGGAGCTCAGCTAGAGGCAGGTGACTGCTCGGGCTATCTTCACCCCGACGTGACTCGGGTCGATTTTGCCCCGAGCGTTCATTTGCCCTCAATTCTCCCACTTTACCTCGCCTCCTACCAAAGAAAACTAAACCGACTAGGTAGCCTAAGCTTCGTGGTATAATCGGCTACGGAGCTCGCCTGTAGAACATAATACGCCGACGAAAAATAAGCATGAATTGTGAAAATCTCGTAAATTCGTATCCTAGAAATTGTTTTACATGAACCAGTCATGGCTACGTGCAACCAAAGCTTAGAACCTCAATAACCCGTCACCGTAGCGAGTCACTCCACAGTCTCATTCACTCCACTTAAGCGAAAGGAGCATCAGTCAGGCGGAAGTGCACAGCCTTGATCTGAGTGTAGTTCTCCAAGGCGTACGAGCCAAGCTCGCGACCAATACCGGATTCCTTGAAACCACCGAACGGCACTTGAGTGTCGAGCATGTTGTAGCTGTTGACCCAGACGGTACTATTTTCATGGTCAGTATTTGTTCGGTCGACATTACAAGCAGGTTGACGGATACATACCCAGCACGCATCTGGTTGGCCACGCGGAGGGCGGTGTTGATATCCTTGGTGTGAATACCAGCGGCAAGACCTGCAGGGATCTATCAGTATGGAAAGTACAAGATTAGAAGGAGTTAAAGACTTACCGTAGGAAGTGTTGTTACCAATCTTGATGGCGTCCTCGACGTCCTTGAACTTCTGAACGGTGATAACAGGGCCGAAGATCTCCTCCTGCACAATCTTCATGTCCTCGGTCACATCAGTGAAGACAGTGGGCTGGATGAAGTAACCCTCATTGCCGTGGCGCTCACCACCGATGGCAACGGTGGCACCAGCCTGCTTGCCGTGGTCGATGTACTCCATGATGCGATCGAACTGGAGCTTGGAGACCTGAGGACCCTGGAAGGTGTCCTTCTCGAAGGGGTTGCCGACCTTGTTCTGAGCACTACGCTCCTTCAGGCGAGCGACGAACTTGTCGTAGATACCCTCCTGAACCAAGAGACGGGAACCGGCGCAGCAGCACTGACCGTGGTTGTAGAAGATACCGAAATTGGCCCAGGTGATGGCGTTGTCAATGTCGGCATCGTTGAAGACAATGTTGGGGGACTTGCCACCCAGCTCCAGCGTCACCTTCTTTAGGTTACTCTTGGCAGCGGCCTGCATGATAGTGCGGCCAACCAGGGTAGAACCAGTGAAGGCAACCTTGTCAATATCCATGTGGCTGGAGATAGCGGCACCGGCCACACGACCGAAGCCAGAGATGACGTTGACCACACCAGCGGGAATGCCAGCCTCGAGGACCAACTTGGCGGCGTAGAGGGCAGACAAGGGAGTCTGCTCGGCCGACTTGAGGACGACGGTGTTACCAGTGGCCAGAGCGGGGCCGATCTTCCAAGACCACATGAGGAGAGGGAAGTTCCAGGGAATGATCTGACCGCAAACACCAATGGGCTCGTGGCGGGTGTAGGCGAAGGTCTCGTTGTTTGTGTCAATGGTCTGACCGTGGATCTTGTCGGCCCAGCCACCATAGTAGCGCAAACACTTGGCAGCAGCGCCAACATCACCCTTGGCCATGGAGATCGACTTGCCGTTGTCAAGGGCCTCGATGGCGGTCAGGATGTCCGCATCGCGCTCGAACAGGTCAGCCAGCTTGGTCAGGAAGCGGCCACGGTCGTGAGGAGTGACATGACCCCAGGGGCCCTCGAAGGCCTTGCGGGCAGCCGCGACGGCAATGTCGACATCCTTCTCCGTAGCTTCGTGAACGGAGACAATAGGCTTCTCGTTCGTGGGGTTGATGGTCTCGAAGGTCTTGCCTTCGACACCCTTGACCCACTCGTTGTTGATGAACCTGATCGTAGAGCAGATGGTTAGTGGTGGGGATGAGGCATAAGAACGAGTTCACAATAGGGAGACACATACAAGCCCAGAGGCTGCTCGTACTTGGCGAGAGGGGTCTCGATGGTGGTGAAAAGATCAGCCATGATGTGAGATTAAGAAGGTAAAGAGGGGTAAAAAGAGGGGAGATGGAGAGGAGAAGAGGAAGAGAAAGAAAAGATTGGGGGAAGGGGAGGGGAAGCTCCAGTGTTAATAAAGTAATGAATCTGGTGAACCATAGCTAGGATCGCCGAGGTGGGGATGGGAACGGAGGGAACGGAGGAACATTCAAAGGGGAAATGATGGAGGGGGGGAAAGATGTCGCCGAAGGAGGGGTGGAGGGGAGAAGGGGGAGAGGGGGGCGAAGCTCTCCCAGTATGGTTAATGCAGGTGCAGTACGGTGTGTGTTAGTTAACTGTTAGGAGCACAATTGCTGTTAGTATTGCTCATCGCTGTTTCGTCCACCGAACCGGGGATTACTTCATGGCCCTCGCCTTGCCCGCCCCGCTTTGCTCCGTTACTGAACCTTCTCGCTGGCTGGTTTGCCAGTCCCGTGGGTGGGTTTTTCAGATCGTGCGGGGTTTCCGCAGCAGATTCTCATCTCGCCCACCCTCCATCTCAATCCCCCTCGGTAGCAGTAATACCACCCACCCACTGGCAAGGTACCAGGTTACAACTTTGTATTTCTTGTTCTTGATCTTCTTGAACTTCCCGACCTTTCTATTCGAGATTTCTCGAAAGAGCCCGGCCTACCCACTCCACTCTGCCCTGCAGCTTATTTTTTCCCAGTGCTGTCACTAACAGTGAAAGTGGCGCGGAATCTCCCCGCTTAGCCTCGGTGGTGGGGATCTCAACCAGTCAAGAGAACTCAATGCGGTATAACTTGCGCTTGCCGTAGCCCCTTCACTAGAATAGTCTGCCATTCTTAACCCCGGGCAACCCCTCCGTCAGCCAGTGGCAGCTATTTGGACTAGACTAGACTATTGTCTCAATCCTGCAGGAGATCAACCTGGTCCAATATCTGAATACTCTATAAATGATAAGCAAGCAGATCAGCCGGGTCAAGGGAACTTACTTAATACACCATTGGCAGATGACGAAGTGCCGCCGAAGGACTGAAAGAAATGAGACATGAACCAACTGAACGCCAAGCTGGCTACCGACCATGGACTCGAACTCACTCAAACTGACACACCAAGAGGCTTGGCTTCCTGTCGGCCGAGTTCCAGAACCCAAACACGTGCCGTGGTTTTACCACCACCACTTGATACTCCGTCCCTACATGAACCCCAGTAGATTAACAACAGATAGAGATCATCTACTAAGTATGTGGCTCTGAGCAAGTATGGAGTAGATAACTAGGTACCTAGTACCACTCTGGTCTACTACCAAGAGATAAGCTACTAATCGAGGACGACTCCCCAAACACTAAGGTGCTTCGTCATCCGGCTCGTATTGAAGGTCAGAGCTTGCCACTGCTAGCCAATCCCCTCCCCCACTTACCGCGCATAGAATGATTCTGGCCTATCCATGATCCAGAATCACACCCATTGGAGTGTTTAGTAATCGGACTGGTCACGGGACGGGCTTTTCCCCGGACCGACCCCTCGGTACCTTCTCCCGGCGCCCCGATCGCTGCCTCGGGTTGATTCACCCCGGGCATGTAGAACGGTTGATGCTTTCGATCTTCATGTTATTGTCTTGTGAGCAAGGAAACAAACGATGGGGGATCAAGCACCGAGCAGTTTCTGTCACCATCGCTCGCTGTTGTTGATCAAGCTTTGATGCCTTGGACCGTTGAAGGCATTCAGCGCGAGCTCATCTCTTGGCCTTGAATCCACAGTTTCCACTTAGCATGTGACAACGCTTGAGCTACTCCGTACAGCTGCCCTAGCTGCGATAAGAGGACTCAATGCACTGTATTGTGCTCCTTACTTGAGCAGAACAATCCTGCATCCTTGTCAGTGTCCATCTTGTCTGCAACCCAGAACTTGTACCGTCAAATGTGGACCGTACCTTGTGTTTGGATGCAACAATCCGACGTGATGCGATGACTTGGACTGACATCCTACACCCGCAAACAACTGTTTCATCAATGACTTGAATACCAATAGGTATCTTCGTGGCAGATGGTACAAAATGTGCAAGCAGCGTCCAAAATATCAATCCAAGTTATCGAGCAGTATCTACACCGGAAGAATCGAACAACTCCGTGGGTGGCAGTTGCAAGCAAGGCTCTGTCGTACCAGTAAGAGGGCGGCGCGGCTGACGGAGTTGCACCACAACTCCGCACATTCCTTCGGAGCATCTCCATCCTCCCTTTATCTCTGCATCCATCCCACCTTCTTGTAAATCATGCGCCGGTTGAGCTGATCCGATTCTCCCTTTCAAAGCCCCAACATGCCGAAATTCTATCCCTCCATCTCGGACGACCTGCGGGACTGGGTCCTGCGGCAAAGCGTCTTCTTTGTTGCTTCTGCCCCGCTGCAAGGTCGACATATCAATTTATCCCCCAAAGGTCTGCCCGATGCCTCGTTGGCCATACTTGGCCCGAATGAGGCTGCTTACATAGATGCGACCGGGTCCGGAAGTGAGACCATCAGCCATGTGCGCGAAAATGGTCGCATTACGATCATGTTCTGCTCCTTCGACACAGCACCCGGGATCGTGCGTTTCTTCTGCAACGGTTCGGTGATTGAATGGGACCAGCCTGAGTTTCCACAATATCTCGATCGTATGGGAGGCAAGGCCGTGGTTGGAGCACGGGCCATCATCCACCTGGATGTGTTCAAGGTTGGTTCTCCGGTCTCTTTTTCCTCTGCAGTTCAAGGTATCCTGTAACCTGGAATCTGTCGGAGTCGCCTACAGTATATAATCTAGACATTCTCGTGCGGAATTCGGGTGACACAAAAGCCCATCGCTAACTTCATACTTGTACGGGATACAGGTCCAATCGTCATGCGGTTATGGAGTTCCGCGGCTGTCCGTGAGGCTAGATCCCGACACCAACGAATCCAAACCATACCTGAAAGACCGAGACACACTGGGCCACTGGGCAGGCAAACAGGTGCAGGCGAACAAGATGCGGGCCTACCAGAAGGAGTGGAACTACCGAAGTCTTGATGGGCTGCCGGCACTCTGGACCGCTGTAAAGGATAACAACAAGTTTACCGGGGTGGCACAACTGGGGAACTGGGCTCGTCGCCATCGGGATGATATCGAAACAGCCAAAACAACCTTTTTGGTGCTGTTCATGGCCATGGGGATTATGCACTGGATTGGATATGTGTAGATATACCATGGTTCGCAGCACATCACCACGTTGCGGGTGACATCATCTTGCCCACGATCCTGGCTTTAACTTCCAATGTGGGTTATGCTTTTGACCTTTTGACCATTAATTAGGTTCAGGTAAATGGGAAATTGCCTTCTGCCCTGTAGTGGGACTTTCCGGTAAATCATCGTTCATTCTTTGTTTCATTTGATCGAAGTGCCCGCCAGAATCCTTGTCAAACCCCGCCCTTCGTTCGACCGAATCTCCTCGGCTCAACCCAGATGGTGCCACAGTCACACCTGGACGCCCTTGCTTTGTCTCGCCTCACATTTTTGTGATAAATCGCTCGGAGCTCAATTCCAGCCAAAGGCATTGCCGACAGTCTGTGACCATCAAAAACACCACCACCAATACCTTCAGTTTCCCTTGATTATGGCTTCGCGTTCCGTTCGCATCGCTGGTGAGCCATGAGAGAGGCTGTCCATTCGGCTCAACGCTGAGTTACCACAGGGGCGTCAGGTTCCGCGTCGGACCGACACTATGCCATAGCGGAATTTGCACGCAATCATCCCCGTGACCCGGTGGATGTAATCACCGCCGATTTCTTGAGCGAGGCCAACATGTCCGCTGGGGCAGCCCGGCGAGTCGACCAGATCCGGGCGCGGAATGAACAGGTGCAACCCGGCCGGGGATCGGCCAGCACTACGCCAGCGCCTGCATATGAGCCGTCATTTTTGCTCGCCCTCGAGCCGGCCTTGGTCGACCTTGCCAAGCACAGGATCAAACTGGCGGTCAATGCAGGGAACGCCGATACGGAGGGCCTCCACGACGCGGTTGTGCAGATGGTGCAGGCAAAAGGACTGGACCTCAAGGTTACTACCTCCACTTGCAGTGGCTGCTGTCTTCGAGGATATGTGCTCACATTCGGCTGCAGGTCGCTTGGGTGTCGGGTGACCAGGTCCTGTTGACCGTCCAAGAGGCGCTTTCGTCGGGCAAATCCGACTTCAAGAGCATCTACACCGGCCAGCCGTTATCCGAGTGGCCCTTCGAGCCGATCTTCGCGCAGTGCTACCTCGGGGGACTGGGGATTGCAGCCGCGCTCGCCAATGGCGCCGACATCGTCCTCTGCGGACGAGTCTCCGACGCATCCGCCGTCATTGGAGCGGCATACTGGTTCCACGGCTGGCAACGCAGCGACCTGGACCGCCTCGCCAACGCCCTGGTAGCCGGTCACTTGATCGAATGCAGCAACTACGTCTGCGGCGGGAATTTCACCGGGTTCAAGATGCTCGAGTCCCTCGGCCGCGACGGATGGACCAACATCGGGTACCCCATCGCGGAAATCTCTCCGCAGGGGCAAGTGATCATCACGATGCAAACCTACGCGACCGGCGGCGCCGTCACGGTCGACACCTGCTCCGCGCAGCTGCTGTACGAGATCCAGGGGCCCCGCTACCTCAACTCGGACGTCACCGCCCTGCTCGGCGACATCTCCTTCGAGCAACTCGGCACGAACCGCGTGGCCCTGCGCGGCGTGCGGTCCGCAACCCCGCCCCCGACGACCAAGGTGGGCATCTCCGCGCGCGGGGGGTTCCAAGCCGAGGCGAGCTATTTCCTCGTCGGGCTGGACATCGCCGCCAAGGCGCGCATGCTAGAGGCGCAGATCCGCCACGTCCTCGCCCCGTACTCCGACGCCTTCACAGCCCTAACTTTCTCGACCCTGGGGTCCGCGGCCGACGACCCGCGCACCCAGGACAGCGCCACCGTGACCTTCCGTATCGTCGCGCAGGCCCGCACCGCCGCCGCCCTCGCGCTCCCCCGCTTCCTGTGGCCCATCACCGACAACATCATGCAGGGCTACCCCGGCGCAACCTGGCACCTCGACACCCGCCAGGGCTTGCCCCGCCCGATCTTCGAATACTTCGTCTGTCTCTTGCCGCAGACGGCCGTCCAGCACCGCGTGCACCTGCCCTGGAAAACGGGTTCTGGTGCTGCTGGGCCGCAAACCGTAGACATCGCTCCTCCACCACAATCACAAGCCGCACCTCCCGCGCAAACGGACCTACCCCCCGCTCCCCCAATTTCCGGTAATGCCTCCTACGGCCCAACCATCCGCGGCCCCCTAGGCTGGATCGTCCACGCCCGCTCCGGAGACAAGGGCCCCGACGCCAACTGTGGCTTCTGGGTGCGCCATGCGGACGAATTCCAGTGGCTGCGGCGGGTGCTGACCGTGCCGACGGTGCGAGAACTGTTAGGCCCGCAGTATAATGATCCCGCCACTGCCGCTTTCCTGCAGGTGGAGCGGTTCGAGCTGCCCAATCTCCGGGCAGTGCACTTCCTGTTCAGGAATTTGTTGGACCGCGGGGTGTGCGCGACGGTGACGGTGGATTTCCTGGGGAAGAATGTGGCTGAGTTTCTGCGGGCGAGGTTTGTGGATTTGCCGGTTAGGTTTTTGGAGAGAGGGAAGTTGTAGTTCGCTACTTGTCCTGGGACTAGCATTTAGAGGGGGTAGATGTGGGATTTCAGGTGCAGGGTCCAAGTTGATGGATCGGTTTATAGCTGTGGAATGGTGTTATATATAGCTGGGATATATGATAGTACTGTACATCGTGGATTGGGTTTAGTAACGCGACCTAGTCATGTCATGCAGCTTGACAGGGAGAGAGGTATTGCCTGCAGCTTGAACGTTAATGTGGTGGCATCCCCCAGGCAAACACCACACGAGCCCTGCACCTCAGCCTGAGCTTCATACCTAGGTAACCACCATCCAGCTGGGCTGCTGGGCTAGAGAAAGATAGCTCCCTCGGAAGGGTTAATCCTCACCCTGCCCCTCCAACGCCCTCCATCCCCCAAACACTGGCTGCTCGAACCCCTCCCCAGCACGACCCTCCCTCCACCCCCACGCCACGCAATAATGCCGCGCCAACAACCGCCACTCCTCCATCTCATCCAGCATCTCCAACCCGGCCACCCGCTCCTTCTCCGCCGCCGCCACCCACCGCTCCCACAGGAAATCCACATCCGCCGCCGCCTGCCCGGCCCGGAACCCGTGCGCCCGCAGCCGCGCCCGCTGCGCCGCCAGGCTCGCGTACCGGTGCAGCGTCTGCAGCTGGATGCCCCGCGTCGCCAGGTTGGCCACCATCGTGCGCCCGAACGCGTCGTCCGGCCGGATCGGTTCGTAGACGATGATGCCCAGCGCTGCTGCGCCAGCTTGTCCTTCAAAGGCGGGAGCATCAAAAACCTTGACAAAGAACTCCACCACCCGGCTGGCCTCCTCGGGCTCCAGATAGATCAGACAGCATTCGGAGATCAACACCGTCGGGAGGGTCGGGTCGAGGCCTGGGAGGAGGGTATCGAGTTGGAGGTCCCCCTTCCCCTTCCCTAAAGGTGATGATGCTAAAGCAGCCAGCTGGCGGAGATCGATCGGGTGGAGGTGGTAGTGCGGGGTATGCAGGGCGTCGGCGGCGGGGGAGATGGTGACATTCTCCGCGTTGCCTAACGCGCGCTGCAGGTGAGGCGCGGCGCGGATGGCCCGGATCTTGGCCGCGGTGTTGCTGGGGAAGTCGAGTTCGTGGTAGATGATTGTTTCTTCGGGGTGGGTTTTGGAGGGCAAAGAGGCCAGGAGACGGAAGATGCGGGTGTCGGAGCCGGCGCCGAGGGAGATGATTTGTTTGGCCTTTAGTCGGGGGAGACTGGGCGTTGTTGTCCTTGTGGGGGTTTGGGGGGAGTGTGGTTGATGGGTTGGGGATGGGTCAAGGAATTGCGCGAGGAGGTGGTCGATTGTTGTGGTGCGGACGTAGGTGCCTTTTTGTGTGGGATACAGCTTGTTAGTTGGGTGACGAGGTGGAACGGTCAATTGTAGGGTTGCATACCTCGATTGATGATGGGCAGGCGTCGGGTTTCTTGGCCGGAAGGTGTCAAGGCTGATGCGAATGGGTCGTCGAGGTAGCCCAGGTTCACGGCGCTGAGGCGAGAGACGCTGGCGTCATTGTCCGTGCCTTGTACCACTCGGTCTTTGGTGCTGGAGCCTCCTCGTCGCGAAGGAGCCTCAGAGCCTAGCTCGCCGCCGCCGCGACCGCGAAGACGACCGCGACCGCCCCCGCGACGCAAGGTGTTGAGATTGGGGATCTGTGACGCCGACATGAGATGAGGGGGAAGAGCGGAGTGGAAAAGAGGGGAAGCTTGGGAGGGACAAGCGGGCGAGGTTCCGCGGTTGTTTGTTGCGTCTGTTGCGTCCCCGCGGAAGCGCAGTCAACCCTGCCTGGTTTGTCAGGCACTTACTGTACATGGAGACATGTAATGGTAATGGTAAAATTCTATCTATACCGCTTTTATCACAATAGACAACTCTATGTACAGTACATACAACCAACCACCAAACACCCCCCCCTCAGACATAAACAAAGTTGTTCCGGCACAGCGGACACGTGCTCTGGTTACTGCTCTTGAACCACCGGAACAGACACACCGAATGGAACGTGTTCTTACACGTTGCGCAGCGCTTGTTCGGCGTCTGCATGTCCGTCGAGATGACACTATAGCAGATCGCACACTCGCTCTGGCCCTTGAGGGCTCCCTGCACGTTCTTCCGGAAGGCTAGCAGTCCATCCACTATGTTGCCATTGGCAAACATGATGACACCCTGAATCGTCGTCAGCCAGTTCTTCCACTTCCTCTCGTCCACCAGAACACGACTCCGCCCGACGACCAATGCGGGTTGAAGCGGGTAGGCAGATGGCAAAGAGATTGACAGTGAGACTGGCGGCGAATCCTCGTCGACCGGGATGCTGGCGATGATCTCCGCCGTCTTCGGCGCTATCTTCACCTGCAGCGCTCGCTCTTCGTTGGGATCTTGGGTCAGAGTCCACTCAGAGACTCCTTGCAATGACTCTTCGATGACCAATGGAGAGATCTAGAAGGGTGGGTCAGTAATCTCGTGCATGATTGCATTCGGCAAGACATACGTATTTCTCAGTCCAGGCTTCTACTGGTCCCTTGATGCGCTTCTTGGTGTCAATCCACCATCCTTTGGTCATGTTGGCCAAATGCTTCAGGCACAGGAAGTACAAGTGGACAAGAAGCCATTGGATCTCCTTTTCAGGGCTCTCGGACTGATCAGGTTCAAAGGAGCGGATGTCAAACTTGGACACATCGATCATCTTGCCGTGGGACTGCTGGAGAAAGTCGAATGTGAGCTCCAGCAATGAGTCCAGACTCTCATTCTCTCGGATACTAGCAACATAGTTCTCTTGGACAGTGAGAGACTATTTGAACAAGTCAGATGCTGCCTGCTATGAGTGACGTTTGCGGATGTGGAGACGTACCGCATTGACAAAGTGATCGAAGACTATCTTCCAACTCAGCAGGTAGGACCGGAGCTCAGTCCAGGTCCTCTCATCACCATAAGACCTACTGATCGAAGCCATAGTCGGTGCGCCAAGCAGAAGAGACACGAGTTCGTCGGGTAGTCGGACTGTCGTCTTCGACAAAGCCACGTCGAAAGAAACCTGTTCCTGCACGCTGGGAATGTACCGGTGCAACAGATTGTAGGCAGTTCGTTGTATAGCTCGGCTCTGCGCCGTCAGAAGCGAGAAGACACTGCTAATTTCCTCTAGATTCTCGACCGGAATGGTTTTGACAAACCGACAAAGCAGTTCAACTGTGATGTCCCGGGGTTGATCAAAGATCGTGGACGAATCTATATGACGATCATCAACAATGCTCTCAAATGCAAAAAGTGACAGACTTACCAAACTTTCGCAAAGTCGAGGTCAAGCTGTTGAGTAGCTTCGTTTTCCGATCCGACCACGCATCCTTCACGTCATCATTACTCTCTTCGTGACTGACGATTGATTGTAATTTAGCGAAGAGTCTGTAAGATGACAAGAGCACAGGAAGAGCCTCGTCGCCACCACTAGTCCTCTTCCAGGTCGCGTCGAGTATCTCCAGGCAATCTTCCCAGTGAGAGCCGTACATCTCTTGAATGCATGGGAGTACAAATACAAGAGTCTGAAGAATTTCGGCTTTGAAGCTAAGGGATACAGCGTCAGATCGAAGGCATTGGGTGAGATGCTTGATCAGGAACATCAGACGCTGGGTTGGTATGGACGCCGCGACGTCCTGGTCCCCAGCAAGCAGGAGATTAAGGAGAACCAGCTTCCGCAACCCTAATGATAATCAGCATAGTCAAGACATATGAGAAGCCCGTACTGACCGTCTTTGTTCTCATCCTGAGGTTTCAGTCCAGTAGAGTCTGCGACAAACTCGTTGCACAGCCGCGTACCCGCAGGATTCGATAGAATGGCATGGCGCAACGTAGCTACCCAAGCAGCCGAGCGGATGGCATTCGCTTTGCGCATATCCCTGCAAAGCTGGGTCACCTCTTCCAACGATCTGACGCTGTTGGAAGAGTCGGCGGTGTCCATGATCTTCACGAAAGCGACTCCGATACGATAGTCTAGTGGAGTAAGACCTTCTAACCCTTCGAGCTGGTCTTTCCAGAATGCAGAGAGCATAGAGGAAATAGTCGCTTCAGCCTCGGCTGCACCCTTTTCGTGGGATCGAGCCCAGCCACTGACAACCTTCCAACCGTCGTTGACAACATCCATATACTCATCCCTTTGCTCAGGAAGTGAGATCCCGCTGATGCCATTACAGTTCTCCATACTCAAGTCATCGTCAATGAGCTGCAGTGCCAGGGGGATGTTGTAGAATAATGTCTCCACCTCAGCCTTGTCCAGGTTTTGAGCTAGATCGAGAGAAGAAAGGATTCTAACAGTGAAATAGGCCAATCGGAATGCTGAAGAAGAGTTGTTTGAATCCCGAGGGAGGCTTTCATAACGTTGAGGTAGTGTGTCCGACAAATCACGATTAACGAGATGCACGGTACCACTGAGTGGGCTTGTGATGGCAGTTGAAGGTCTCGGAGGGAGTTCGAGGAATGGGCCCAGAGCTTTCGCCCAGGAATCGCGGGAGGGCAGAATATCCTTTGCGATCTTTCCAACCTCTTCTGCCTTGGCGTTGTGCAGCAGTTCTTCGGCGATATTGACAAGTGACTCAACCCTAGAAGCAGTTAATTCCGAGTTCTCTTTTCCCTTTCTTGGTTGACACTCACGATAGCGATTGATCATTGACATTGTCAAAACTGTGCTGTAGAATCTCATAGCTGGATTTGTTCGCACTCGTCTCACTGACGATCGACTCCTTCAAGGTCTTGGCCAACGATTCTGCTACGCTTGAAACATCTTCCGATGAAGACTCAGTAAGGTAGAGTAGCTTTCCAGTTAGTTTCGAGCCGTGTGGCCCATTCTGAAAAGTTTTGAATGCCGAAGGAACAGCCCGCGCGACTTGAGAGAGACCATGCAAGGTATCGAAAACCTTGGTATCATCAGACAAGGAGTCGATTATTGCTAGGAAAATCGTGTCTGACAGTCCTCCGTGGGAGGTTTCGTTCTGAAGCACTGCGATCACAATTGACCAGTGCAAATCACTCCCGTTGCAGGCCCTTTCGAGGGCTCGCATGATCAGAGAGATGAGTCCACTCTTTTCGTCCAGTTCTTGGAAATCGAGGGTGGAAAGTAGCTTTTGTACAGTGTGAGCATTCGAAGTCT